CAGTGAATAAAGATACTATTTCTGTTTCATAAAATCATACCTCATTTCCCAGATAAATATACAGTCTTTACAAAATAATTATTGATTAGTAGTGGTTTCATCTCTAAGTCATGTCCAACTCTTGAGACCCCATGGGTTGTAAACTTAGAGATGCATAAATATTCATTGTTTAAAACCCAGAAATTGTGAAGAAGAAAATTGAAGTAGCATGATCTTGCTGCACAAAGTGTTATAAATCTTTACTAAGTAGATTGAAAATGTATATAGCACTTTAGTTTTTTGAATTAAAATCACTTGGTCAAATTCAAATAATGTATAGAGAGTAGCAATTCATAACAGACAACTTTCCACCAAGGTATATTCACAAAACAGTGATTTAGTCTCCACGTGTTATGTTGCAATGAATTTTTCTCCACTGCATAGTTGTATTATAAATTGTTCAGTTCATCCCTGTTGTGTCAGACATGTAAGTTGTTTCCAACTTCTTACTACTGTTTTCTATAGGATGTAACAAACCACCTTGTTTGCTCTATTTGAGGAATTTCTCTTGCTTTTTTGACTAATACGACTCTTGCATTGGAATTAAGCTGATCAGAGGGGGCTCATATTTGCTTCCCCCAGAAAGACTGACCAGGTCTGTTCCTCCAGCACTGCTGTTGATAAGGCCAATTTCCTAAAACTCTCACTGATAATAGGGATTAACATTGTTTTTAATCCTTACCATGTTGATCATCTGAAAATTTATTTTCCAGATAAATTTTCTTCTGTGAAAATATCTGATTTCCCAGTAAGCATATTTTTGCTATTTTGTAGTATTTTTAATGACCTGCATATTCAGATATGCTGTTTGCCCAGTTTTCTTTTGGAGTACTCATTTTTAGAAAATTGATTTTAAGGCATTACATTTGTAAAGCTTTATTTTAAATTCTTTGAGAATATTCAGATGAACTTAGTGATGTGGAGATCACACTTTGGGGTGTATGCAGAGTCCTTGACCTTTTAAGTTATTCCTTAGTAGGCATTAATGTTTCAACAATCAGGGCCATCTGACTTGAAAAAAAAAAGAAAGAAAAACACCTTTGTACATCTTACCTAAGCAATATGATGGTTAAGGTAAATGAGGGTGAATAATTATGGATGTAATGGGAGTCCTTGAATTATAATTGGACTCATAAGTCAAATGAGACAATTCATAACAGTTTGGCCCAGTATTTCAGTTTTGTCTGTTAAATTATTCGTATGAATACTTTTATGAATTTAGCCATGAATATTTGATTGGTGTTGATTCATGACATCAGCTATCTTAGCCTCAGTATCTTAGCCCTTTATTTTTTCCATTTATATCCAATTAATGATTATGGAAAGATGGGGAAAATTCTTTTTTCTTAATATAAGAAACCCCTTTCCCCGCAGACTTGCTGGGGCTGTCTGATGAGCATTTACATTATTGGTCATTTAATAAGTGTGGTAATAATAATCCTCACTATCTTAAGGGAAAATACTACAAGTCTCTATTTTACAACTGAGGGAAATGGCATTCAGAGAGGTTAGGTAAGTTTCCAGAAGTCACACAGCTTGTTGGCTGAGATTGGATTCACATCCTGATTGACGTGGATTAAAAGATGAGGCTGTACCCACCCCACAGTGATGGCCAGAGGGCACAGGGCCATTCTCTGACTCGGGTCCTGCTCCTCTGTCACCAGGCCAATCCAACACTCAGGTGGTCATATCCTCTTTCCATTTTGTAGCATCTGCTGCATATACAGACCGTATGTGATGTGAACAGGTATTTGCAGTCACAGCCTGCGGTGCATGTGTGTGACAGGGTACGTGTAGGTGAGAAGATGCACGGTATGGAAGCAGCTGCAGTGGCCAGACATGCACTCAAAGGATGCTCCTTAGAGGCTGACCCGAGGGGTGTGACTTCCAGTGGACAGTGTCCAGAGGCGTGGCAGGGCCCAAGCCCCAGGGTCCACCAGTGACTTCCGGTTTGAATTGAAAGAATGAGGCATTCTGTTCTGGCAGAGAAAGAGCTCCTGAGCCCAAGGCTGTGAACATCAAGTAATTATCTCAGCAATCGTTTTGGAAATCTAGGGGTTTGGCAACTGGCAACATCTCAGTTATTTCAGCTTGAGCTAGATAATTCACATAATTATCCTAATAGATCTGCACACATAATGCCCAGAATCAGTATTATTCCACATCAGAATCTCCTAAAATGATTGGGAAGGGGGTATTTTATATTCACATCTGTATTTATGTGAGAAAGGATCATATTTAGCTTAATAATACACCTTTTTCTAGCACTAGAATCTTTCCATCTGCTGATTTAATAACTGCTTCATGAGTTACATATGAATCCCCATTGGTTGTGCATTGTATCAGCCATTCATAAACCCAGCTGAACATCAGAAGCCTCTGGGAAGTTTTTCTTTTTTAAAATTTCTGAGTCTTTTTATCTCTGAGTCTGAAGATCTGATTCTATTTGAGGTGGACCTGGGAATTAGCATTCTTCAAAAAGCTCCCCTTGTGAATCTGACATGTAGTCGAAAGTATTAACCGCGGTTTTCACCACACGGTGCCCACCCTTGTTAGAGAATGCTCCTTGTTTTGCAGTAAAATATTGCTTTATATCATCATGTCGTGGGACCTTCAGTCCAGTGAAAATCTGTAATCCTTCACGTCGCTGGTAAAGAGCTCCATGAGTCAGTGTCCGTCTGTATTTTATATTTAAGATTTATCTGCCTCCTTGGAGTGTGTTTGTTCTACACTGCTGTGTCAGTTTCCGCTGCCCAGAAAAGTGGATCAGCCATGTGTACACATGCATCCCCCCTCTGTGGGTTTCCTTCCCGTTTCAGGCCCCACGGGGCCCTGAGTGGAGTTCCCTCCGCTGCACAGCAGGTCCTCATTAGTCACCTGTTGTATACATAGTGATGTGTACGTGTCAGCCCCAGTCTCCCCAGTCACCTCACTCCCTGCGACCCTCTTGGCGTCCACATATTTGTTCTTCACGTCTGTCTCTATTTCTTTCCTTTTCAGAACAACACTCAGTGTCTGAGCTAATTAATTGCTGGCCATGCCGGGTCTCCACTGCCGTGCACGGCTTTCCCCAGGTGCAGCACGTGGACTTCTCACCGCTGTGGCGTCTCTTGTTGCAGAGCATAGGCTCTAGGTCCACGGGCCTCAGGAGCTGTGGTGTGTGGGCTCTCCAGCTCAGGGTCAGGAGCTGCGGTGCACAGACCTAGTTGCCCTTTTGCATGTGGAGTCTTCCCTGAGTAGGAATCGAACCTGTGTCCCCTGGATTGGCAGGTGGATGCTTAACCACTGGAGCACTAGGGACGTCCGTGTGTCTCTATTTCTGCTTTGCGTATTAATCTTTAAGCTCCACCTCTGCCACTGGCCACATACACTCTGCATCTCACACAGAATATACCATGAGGGTTAGTGTCTCATGTTTGTCTTTAAGCATCCACATTTTCTTTCAGACATCTCCGGAGTCTTAAAGATTCTGCTGAAATGTCCGCACTTTCCGCTTAAGCCTCCCAAGACTGTATCTTTGGTAGCAACCCTCCTAGCCCCGCCTGGGCTCTGCATGTACTGTTTTGTTGTGTTTGCGTTGTGTTGGATTGTTCATATTTTTATCTCAGTCCCTACTTTACAGTCTTTTTTGAGGACAGAAATCAAGTCACCCAGAGCCTGCCATGCCCTGGTGCTCCCCCCCACGCCTGCCTTTGCACCTTTGTTCTGAGTGCCATTATCAGTCATTTATCTTTCAAAACGGTAGTTTCTTTAGAAGTATTTTCTCTGGGACTTTAAGCTTATTCATTGCTCTTTTATTAACTGTATAACAATTTGATGTTTGTATTAATAAGCAATATGATCAATTTAGCATATCTGCTCTTTTTTTTCGTTTTGTTTTTTGGCCATTCTGCATGGCTTGTGGACCTCAGCTCCCCGACCGGGGATTGAACTAAGGCTGCCAGCAGTGCAAGCCCAGAATCCTAACCCCTAGGCCACCAGGGAGCTCCCATATCTGTTCTTTCAGAAATCCACATTTCGAGTACTGTGCATTAGGAGGACTCATTGGGGGACCATGGGCCTGGCCGGTGGTTTGAGCCGCATCATCCTCTAGACATAGCTGGAGACAGTGGTCCTTGGGCGTCTCAGTTTGCTCCTGCCTGGTGTCCTCATTGTTGGACGCAGCCGCGGGCATGACTTGTGGGAATGGGGGCAGGTTCACTGTGGGGTGTGGGCCCAGATGCCCACCCTCAGAGGGAGCCTGGTGGAAGGACCGAGCCAGAGGGCCAGCTCACATTGTACTTCCTGCGTCTACATTTTGCCCCTCTGTTCACGGAGGGCTCTTTTCAGATTTGCCACATCAGGAAGGGAGGCCAGGACTGCTGAGACTGACAGGTTAAGGGGGGGCGAATTAGAGGCTGGGACCCCCTGCCACCCCAGAGGTTGCCCCAGGCTCCTCCTCAGCTGGGATATCCTGGATGGCCAGGGGACGCAGGTGCGGGCTTCATGGGGACCTGGGGGGAGGCAGGCGTGTGCTGCCTGGATCCAAAACGAGATGTAACATTGGCAGGGGTGGGGACTCAGGGTGAGGACAGAGGCAAGGAGCCTGGAGACAAGGTCTCATTTGGGCGGCGCCGTCTCTGCCACCCCCAGCCCTCTGTTGGTGGCTTAGAATTCAAGCTCATGTTACAGGCTTTGTTTTAATCTGTCAGAATAAACATGAAGCCTTTCTCCCTGTCCTTTCTCATCTGCCCGCCCCGCTTCAGCAGCTGGAGCCAAGTGGGGCTACCAGGATTTCTGTCGTTGTGTCTGATGTTGTGAGATGCCCTGTGTGTGTAACTTCTCAGGGTATCCTGACTTAGGGTGTACTCACTCAAGACGGCTGGTGCGGGGCCTTGCAGGATGAGAGCAGGGTGGGGGCTGTCAGGGACGCTGCAGGAATCCCGGGGGCTCAGACCTGCCACATCTTCCTCTCCTTGCAGACTGCACACCTGCTGGCACCCCCCTGGTGCGGGGTGGCCCCCTGCTCCTGGCACAGACAGCTGCCCTCCTGCGGAAGCGGCTTCTCCACGCTGGCCGGGCCTGGAAGGGCACCGTCTCCGACTTGCTGCTGCCCATGCTCTTCGTGGCCTTGGCCATGGCCTTGTTCATGGTCAGGCCTTTGGCCATCAACTACCCTCCCCTCAAACTGACACTGGGTCATTACGACAAGGCAGAAACCTACTTCTTCAGGTAAGAGCCTTTCTTTGTTTTTCCCCCTTGTGCTTCCAAATTACATCTGGACAGGTTATGAATAGCAGTAGCTCTGATTCTTGAAGAATTTCAAATATATACAAGTTGTTATCAATTTGGAGGTCTGTGTACTTGAGGGTGAGTGCTGAATAGTTTTTGCTTTTTTGGAGTCTGTCGTGTGATAGATGCTAGGGGCACATGAGGCAGACCGGTCCAACCTCTGTGTCCCTTGGGGTCCTGCCCACCCCCCCCGGCCCCCGGGTGGCCGAGTCTCTTTGGTGGAAAGGGCCATGACTTCTGATGTGCAGAAGTCAGGAACACAGCCACCCACAGGCCCTGAGCCAGGACTGGGAGGGCTGTTTCTGGTCCAGGATGGTTATGACTTTAGAAGAGTATGTGTGTGTGTGCGTGCATGCTAAGTCACTCAGTTGTGTCCGACTCTTTGCGGTCCCATGGACTGTAGTCCACCAGGTTCTTCTGTCCATGGGATCCTCCAGGCAAGAATACTGGAGTGGGTTGACATTTGCTTCTCCAGAGGGTCTTCCTGACCCAGGGATCAAACCCTCGTCTCTTACATCTCCTGCATTGGCAGGAGGATTCTTGACTGCTAGTGCCCCCTGGGAAGCCCTTAGCAGAGTATATGGATTGCATATTTAACAAACACTTCAAGGCTGCTTCCAGACACTGGCCCTCAACTGCACATGCCCCTCTACAGAGAAATGTCTGGATTTTTGTCTCTGAACAGGATGGGTCCAGGCACAGCTCCAAGTCAAATTAGGTCCTATTTCTGCCAGCATGTTCAGGCCCGTTTGAATGTTGCCACCAGATACATTTAGGTAGGAACTTCTCAGAGCTTCAAGGGGTGCTGTTTCACTCATGTGGGGTTGGGGACCCGAGAGGTGTCCCTGGCCCCCTGAGACCCTTGTTCTGGGCGGGCTGGCTCTGCCAGATTGCATTCAGAGCATTGTTGCTGGGCACCTGCCATGGTGTCTTTACACTGAGCGCCAAGACTGGCCCGTCCTCCTTCCGGGAGGCAAAGCCCGGTCCCATCGGAGTGGAGACCAGGGCTCGGGGCACCTGGCCCTCGCTGAGCCTGCATCTTCATTGGGCTGTGCACGGCGCGGGCAGCCAGGAGGTTGGGTTAGTTTGCTTTTGTCAGATGCATATCTTGATGAAGATACTGAGCTTCATTAGCTCAGCTCTGCATGCCTGCTGACCTCTGTGCCACTTTTGGAATGAGATTTAAACAGATATAGGCCCAAAAAGGAAAGCTGAGAATAAACTATTCAGTTTGTTTCTGTCTCCCATGGTTATTGGTACTTGCCTCCCCCGTGGAGTCTGGGTTTGACCAGCAGAAAGCCCTCTCCACTGCCTGCCCATGTGAAGAATTCTGTGTCTGTTCTGACTGGTCCCTTCCGAGTGGGCTCCGCCTCTCTGACTGTGTGCTTCATTTGCTTCTCTCATCCCTCGTTTACGCTATGCTTTAAATGGGTAAGACGAATGTCGACTAATGCCTTCTTCTGGCCAAGTGTTCAGATTTCTGTCACGCTCCTTAGGGAGGAGGAGCTTACATCCTACTGAGCCTTCCTCAGCGATCTATGCAAACAAATAGATGAAAACAATCAAATGGGGAAGACTAGAGATCTCTTCAAGAAAGTTAGATACTAAAGGAACATTTCATGCAAAGATGGGCACAGTAAAGGACAGACATGGTATGGACCTAACAGAAGCAGAAGATATTAAGAAGAGGTGGCAAGAATACACAGGAGAACTATACAAAAAAGATCTTCACGACCCAGATAACCATGATGGTGTGATCACTCACCCAGAGCTAGACATCCTGGAATGCAAAGTAAAGTGGACCTTAGGAAGCATCACTATGAACAACGCTAGTGGAGTTGATGGAATTTCAGTTGAGCTATTTCAAATCCTAAAAGCTGATGCTGTGAAAGTGCTGCAGTAAATATGCCAGCAAATTTGGAAAACTCAGCAGTGGCCACAGGACTGGAAAAGGTCAGTTTTCATTCCAATCCCAAAGAAAGCCAATGCCAAATAATGTTCAAACTAATGCATAATTACACTCATCTCACACGCTAGTAAAGTAATGGTCAAAATTCTCTAAGCCAGGCTTCAACAGTATGTGAATCATGAACTCCCAGATGTTTAAGCTGGATTTAGAAAAGGCAGAGGAACCAGAGATAAAATTGCCAACATCTATTGGATCATCAAAAAAACAAATGAGTTCCAGAAAAACATCTACTTCTGCTTTATTGACTATGCCAAAGTCTCTGACCATGTGGGCCACAATAAACTGTGGAAAATTCTTAAAGAGATGGGAATACCTGACCACCTGACCTGCCTCCTGAGAAATCTGTGTGCAGGTCAAGAAGCATCAGTTAGAACCAGACATGGAACAACAGACTGGTTCCAAATAGGGAAAGGGGTACGTCAAGGTTGTATGTTGTCACCCTGCTTATTTAACTTATATGCAGAGTACATCATGAGAAACACTGGTCTGGATGAAGCACTAGCTGGAATCAAGATTGCTGGGAGAAAAATCAATAACCTCAGATATGCAGATGACACCACCCTTATGGCAGAAATCGAAGAAGTAAAGAGCCTCTTAATGAAAGTGAAAGAGGAGAGTGGAAAAGCTGGCTTAAAACTCAACATTTAAAAAACTAAGATCATGGCTTCTGGTCTCATCACTCCATGGCAAATAGATGGGGAAACAATGGAAACAGTGACAGAGTTTATTTTTGGGGGCTCCAAAATCACTTGCAGATGGTGACCACAGCCATGAAATTAAAAGATGCTTGCTCCTTGGAAGAAAAGCTATGACCAACCTAGACAGCATATTAAAAGTTAGAGACAACTTTGCCAACAAAGGTCCATCTAGTCAAAGCTATGATTTTTCTAGTAGTCATGTATGGATGTGAGAGTTGGAGTATTAAGAAAGCTGAGTGATGAAGAATTGATGCTTTTGAACTGTGGTGTTGGACTCTTGAGAGTCCCTTGGACTGCAAGGAGATCCAACCAGTCCATCCTAAAGGAAATCAGTCCTACATATTCACTGGAAGGACTGATGCTGAAGTTGAAGCTCCAGTACTTTGGCCACTTGATGCAAATAACTGACTCCTTGGAGAAGACCCTGATGCTGGGAAAGATTGAAGGCAGGAGGAGAAGGGGACAACAGAGGATGAGCTGGTTGGATGGTATCACCGACTCGATGAACATGAGTTTGAGCAAGCTCTGGGAGTTGGTGATGGACAGGGAAACCTGGCATGCTTCATTCCATGGGTTTACAAAGAGTCAGACACAACTGAGCGACTGAACTGTTATATCCATTACGAGCTAAAACTATCTAACCCTCTAAGTTATAAGTTATATAACCTTGTATCTATGTTGAGCTTTTCAATTGCAAAGTTTGTTTTTTGAAGCAAGTACTATAAAGTACAGGCTAGCCTAAATTTAAAAGCAAATCATACATGTTCCTACTAGCCCTACCTACTACAAACCTGTTGGTGTGTTGTCTACCCCTTGTCATATAAAATATTTTTCAATCCAGGCGTTTTTACTTTTGGGCTTCTCAGGTGGTGCTAGTGGTAAAGAACTTGCCTCCATTGCAGGAGTCACAGGAGACATTGGTTTGAGCCATGGGTCTGGAAGATCCCCTGGAGGAGGAAATGGCAACCCACTCTCCCATTCTTGCCTGGAGAATCCCATGGGCAGAGGAGCCTGGCAGTCTACAGTCCTTAGTGTTGCGGAGAGTCGGACAAGATTGAAGTAACTTAGCACACACGCATGCATTTTTATTTTTATAATGATGAGCTCACAGTGTAACACTGTTCATCATTTGCTTTTCACTTGATAGTGCGTTTGTGGACCTGTTTTTGTACAGTGGTGCCAGTTCCTTGGACTTGCTGTAGAATGTTGACTGGAGGGGCCATAATTTATGTCAACAGCCTCTATTTAGGGGCATGTATAGATTTGTTTATTTATTTAGATAAGTTTTCCTACTATAGACAGTGGTGTTGGAATACTTTGGATTTATGCAACTGTCCATTTTTTCCATTACCATACATTTCTGTTACAAGTTTTTCCAGGATAGCACCAATAATTTCAGGGAAGATATTACCAAGTTATCCCTGGTGGCTCAATGGTAAAGAATCCACCTCCTCATGCAGGAAACATGGGTTCAGTCCCTGGACTGGGAAGATCCTCTGGAGGAGGATATGGCAACCTACTCCAGTATTCTTGCCTGGAGAAGTCCATGGACAGAGGAGCCTGGTGGGCTACAGTCCATGGGGTTGCAGAGTGGGACACAACTTAGCCACTCAACCACTATCACCACCATCAGCAACCACCACCATCCTTACAAATGTGAACTAACTTACAGTCCCATAATATCACTTTTGTTTCTTTCATTCAACAAGTATTTATTATGCATCTGTGTGTGCATGCTCAGTCGCTTCAGTCGTGTCCAGCTCTTTGTGGCCCCATGGACTGTAACCCAACTGACTCCTCTGTCCACGGAATTCTGCAGGCAAGAACACTGGAGTGGGTATGCCTTTCTCCAGGGGATCTTCCAAACTTAGGGATCGAACTTATGTCTCCTCCACTGCAGGCAGAAGCCCTATTATGCACCTAATGTATGGCAGATACCATTCTTTGCAGTCACATACATGTGAACAGGCTAAAGTCCCCACATTCGTGGGAGAGAGGAAGCTCATTTCTCCCAAGTGCTCTCTATTACTTTTGATGCCATGACTTGCTACTGTGTTTCTGTTAGGCAGCTCTTAGGTTTCTCTTAAGACTGAATGTTCTCAGTTGCTTTGTGGTTATTATACATTTTACTTTGCATATTGAATAGATAAGCATCACATACAGTTAATCACCACCCTCAGTGTTTTTCCCTCTCCTCTGCCCCATCCTAACCTTTTCTTCTCAAGCAGGTGAGCATTTCTCTTCATGGGGCTCATGTCACTGAAATACTTCGAGTTGGTTGCCAATACCAATTCAGTGTCTCTGCTGTGTTATTAATTTGGTAATTATGGTTTTTTGTTTGTGAGCATTTCTTCCAGCTCTCACAGTGTTGATCTTTCATAAAAGTAATGCACTCCAAAATTATTTTGAGTCTGAGAGTTAGAGATCTTTTAATATTTTCTTCCATTTCTAAGAGTGTTTTAAGTGAGAACAAAGATATTTCTCACGTTGCATAAATGATGAAACAGAGGAGCCTACATATTCGATGCTCATTTTCTCATCTTTATAGACAGGGACCCATCAGAGATTGCATATTTCCCTTCTTCTTGTCTTTAATTTCAGACTAAACAGAAAAGAACAACTTTACAGGTTGTTACTTTTTGTTTTAGTAGAGTAGGAGTGTACCTAAATATGGGGGGAAAACTAAGATGCTGCCGGAGATCATTAGTTTTGCTGGAAACGTCCCTTCCTCGTCTGAGTTCTCGTCTCTTGCGTTTGCTGTGGGTGAGGGGAGAGCCTCTGCCTGCTTCCGTGGGCACAGCTGTGCTGCTTAGGGCTCGCCATCACCCTCACTGCCTGCTCTGGGTCCCGGATGCCCTAGTGGGGAGACCCTATGTCCTGGTTTACTAGAGGTGAGGCCTGGCATCGTGGTGCATAAGTTAATCATATCCTTTCACGCTCAGCAGTTTCCTTGAAACCGTATGTCTTGGTTTCAGATAGAAAGCCCTGTGTAGCCTGTGAGTCTCAGTCACTGTTACTTTATTTGTTTAGTTTGGTTCAAGGTGTCTGCTCATTCAGTGACTTTGTTTTTGTTGGGAAATGTAACCATGTTAACTGATTCTAGCTGTATCAACCTCATGTTCACTGAGTGTCTTTGTTGTCTGGTTTCTCTGGCTGCTGGGGCCCTGGGGCCACATTTGTTCTGCGACGCTCGGGCGGTGCAGAGGGGCCCAAGCCGTGGCGCCTTCCCCCTCTGCTCCCTGCTTGCTCCCGGCTCAGGAGGAGGAAGGCGTCTGCCCTCTCATTTACGCTCCTCTTTGGGGCCAAGAGACCAGGGAGGTTGCAGGCAGCGGGTCTCTGAGGGCCATCCTCTTGAGGACTGGCCCGTTCTCTTCCTTGCCTTGGGTGCTTTGCAGCTGTTCTTCAGATGCCATCCCTGTGCTGCCTGGCCCTGAGACAGCTCTGCCTGAGGGAGCGCCCACGGAGCCCAGGAGCCCCTGCAGCCGATGCCTGTCAGATCCGGGGCTGGCTTGGGGCAGCGGGGCGCTGGACAGCAAGCAGGGTGGGGAGAGTCGCATGCAGGTCACTTCCTCCCAGAAGCCCCACGTTTCTTGATATGGTTTGATCTCCAAGAGACCTGGGGACTCTTGTTAACAACACGAAGACTTTTGGGATGATATGTAGTAATCCGCATTAGCTCAAACAAGCCCCTGGGCCACGCTGCTGCACGAGAAGTTTTGAGACGTGCTGACATAGAGAGGAAGCAGTGCCCGTGTAGGAGATGCCTCAGGGATTCCAATCTAGCACTGTTTCCAATTCCTATAGTCTGGTAAGGACAGGCTTCTCATGCTTCCAGCAGTGCTCTGAATACAGCCAAGAGTTTGAAGATTAAAAAAAAAAGGAGTTAAAGAACAGGCTGCAGCCTCGATCCCTGGGTAGGGAAGATCTCCCGAAGAAGGGCATGGCAACCCACTCCAGTATTCTTGCTTGGAGAATCCCATGGACAGAGGAGTCTGGTGGGCTATAGCCCATAGGGTCGCAAAGAGTTGAACACAATTGAAGTGACTTAGTATGCATGCATGCAGAAAGAACAAGCGTTTGAATTTTATGGCAACATGGATAATGTAAAGCTAGTTGTTTTTTTTTTTAAGTGACCTTTACACCTAAGCAAAAAAGTGGTAAAAGTAAACCATAACTTTGAAACTTGCTTTTAATAATTATCCTAAGTAAACAACTTTGTGGATCAATATTTTTTTCAGAAAAAAATAATTTCAAACTTTCATATTTGTTCTTGGATTAATGGGTCAAAAGAGAGCAATTCAGAGTATTTCCACAGATGCCACAAATAATGTTTTCATTTTACGAGCCACATTTCCTTGGAAAATATGTCCCTTTCCTTCTAAAAGTGTTTTCTCATTTGTCAGAAACTTGAAGACTATTTATACAGAGGTCACACTGCCTACTTATGAGATGTAGCTTTGCCGTAAATTTCAGTATCTTTCATCACTTCAGAGTTCTGGCCATGGCTGTAGGGAATCAGATTAGGCCAGTTGTAAACCACCTGGATATTTTAAACTCATGGTTGTATTTCATGGAGTGGGGAAGGTGGCGTTTTCCTGTAAATAATTATTCGTTTTGGTTTTGGATGCTGTAGCAGTATTTGCATTGCAGCTTAGGTATGAAAGTAAAGTTGTCCTCAGCAGAAATATACGACTTATTTGGTGTAATGAGTTGCTCTTTCCTTTCCATTAAAACTGGTCCTTCCTGAAAGGTAAGAGGTTTCTTCGAAGATCCAGTTAAGAGAAATAAGATAACTGGGTGGAGATGAAGGATTATTGATTTCGGCATATTGGCGAGATCACAATTTGTTCACAGATGGCTCAGATATAAAGAATCTGCCTGCAAGGCCGGAGACCCGGGTTCAATCTCTGGGTTGGGAAGATCCCCTGGAGGAGGAAATGGCAGCCCACTCCAATATTCTTGCCTGGAGAATCCCATGGACAGAGGAACCTGGCGAGCTACAGTCCATGGGGTCACAAGGAGTCAGACACAACTGAGTGACTTAGCACGCATATGCATAGTTGTGATTATCGTAATAAGACCCACTCCTAATCAGCCTAATTTAGACAGGTTTAAAGTTCTGTTTCCTCTGCATTTTCTCAAGTCAAGATGTTTTGTAAAACTGATGTTTAAAATTTACTGTAAAGTTTGTTTCGACACCTCCCCCAGTCTAGAAGAATAGTGTGTCTTATCTTTGATGGCATCTTCAATAAGGAGATTCCATCTTGGAGGGCTTGGTTCCCATGGATGCTGCTTGAACTACTAATTAACTTCTGAGATTCATGCCATTAAGCTAGAGACTATAATTCACTGTGTACTTAAAGCATACCTAGGGCTTCTTATCAAGAAAATATTCAGTATAGTTTACATATTTGTGTCCAACTCTTTGTGACCCTATGGACTGGGGCCTGCCAAGCTCCTGTTCATGGGATTCTCCAGGCAAGAATACTGGAAGGGGCTGCCATTTCCTCCTCCGTTGGATCTTCCCGACCCAGGGATTGAACCCACGCCTCCTGTGACTCTTGCATTGACAGACAGATTCTTTACCACTAGCACCACCCGGAAAGTCTATATAGAAACACTCAATCGTATCTGACTCTTTGAGACCACATGGACTACACCATCTGTGGCATTTTCCAGGCCAGAATACTGGAGTGGGTAGCCTTTCCCTTCTCCAGGGGATCTTCCCAACCCAGGGATAGAACTTAGGTCTCTCACATTGCAGGCAGATCCTTTACAGCTGAGCTACAAGGGAAGACCAAGAATACTGGAGTGGGTAGCCTATCCCTTCTCCAGCTGATCTTCCCAACCCGGGAATTGAACTAGGGTCTCCTGCATTGCAGGCAGATTCTTTACCAACTGAGCTGTCAGGGAAGCCTGTAGAGAAACACACAGAAAACCAAATATAAGAAGTTTTGTTACTGGGCTATGTAGTAGAGCAAATATTCATAGCAAACCAGAGTTCTGGCATTAAGAGAATAGTTTTATAGACTTTAATATGTTAATATGATATAGTATTATGCAGCCTTTAAAGTTAGTTTTTAAAAAACATGCAAAAATGCTAGAGTTAGTAATTTAATTTTAAGTGAAAAGATGAGAAAAATTATGCACTTGAATGCAAATATATAAAAATGGGTTTATCTGTGGTGGTGAAACTGTGCTTTTACGATGCCTTTTCATCCTGGTTGACATCACCATAGACAAGGTGAACGATGAGCTCTGTCTGCATGGCTGGGAACATGTGCCTGGCCTGGTGGGCCTGGGGCTCGCTCTGAGGCAGGATGTCCTGAGAACTCCTGGCCGAGCATTGACCTTCCCCCTTGTCCTTTGTCTCAGGATGAGTAGCAGTGACAACGATAGCCTGGAGCTCGCCCGTGTGCTTTTGCGGAAGTTTGGCGATCAGGACCTGCCCTGTGCTGACTCATACCCAGACCTGTAAGTACCTGACATCCTTTGCGGAAGTGCAGGCTCGAGCTGGCGACCCATAGGCTGGCAGGATCTCCTGGCACCTGTTCCCGCTCCAGGGAGAACAGTAGCCGGGTAAGAGGGCGGGGACTGAGCATGCGCCACGCTGTCTGTTGATAAAATGACCCAGTAGAAGCTCCATCACTCTCCCTTCCCTTCCTTGGTAAATACAGGCTTTATATCATTGCAAGAATCAATTAGTAACATCAATAATGAATAGCATTCAGTTAACTCACTAAAACCTCCAAAGAATAAAACTGGTAAAAGAATAAAGTAATAATTAAATATGAAATAGTTATTATTAATATTTATTATTTACTTTTTAGGGTAAACTTGTACCTATGAAAAGATTAATTGTGTGTGTTTTTTTTTAACTAAAGAGAGTTAAAAAGTCAATAACATCAGTATGGGGGTGAATTAATTTGAAAATTTTTTTTCTAAGATTTGAAAATGATACTAATAGTATAGAGATGAGACCTTGATAAAGCATACCTTGCTTCATAAACAGCCTTCTCTCTCACTTTGCTTGACTGTTATTTATTGAGGATCTACTCCAGGATTGATGGAGGACTTAGGAATTTACAAATGGGGAAGCGATAAAAAACCATAATGATGTATTAAGTACTAAAGTGTATGTTTTTCAGTCATAAATACTAAAATCCAGGCAATAATGCCGTATCAGTGCATGTTTTCCTAATTTGTGATGACTCGTTTTGTGCATTATTGATGTTGGTAATGAATACGAGACTGAATAACTATTACTGGTCTCAGTGAGGAAGAATTAATAGAAAATTAATTACATCATTTCACTTTAGTCTTCTCTTGAAAAAGGAAGTAATTAATTTAACTAAATAAAAGCTTCCATGGTGATGCTTTTATTTCCCTTTCATCTAAAGAAACATGCAGGATGTAAAAACTGTCTACCTTTGAGAAATTGAAATATAATCTGGGGCCCCGCAGGGTTTAGTCCGGGCCCAACCTGGCAACAAAGAAGAAAGAACAGTTGGCAGAAAAGAAAAAGATATTTATCTGGCCTTTCAAGAGGGGGGAATAAAGGTAGAATCAGTGCTAGGACAGGAGAACATGTCCCAAATTCTGTTCAGATGTCAATTTTACCCTCACGGACTGTTGCCGGGAGTCAGTGGCCCCCAGAGCCCCCTGCCTCACCCCTACCCTCGAGCTCTGCCCCTACCCCACATCCTGCAGATCCTCACTGTTCCCTCCTCAGCCTTTCCTCTGACTTCCTGGTCTGTTTCTGCTTCTTGTTCTTTCTCTGTGAAAGCCAAGGGGTCCCTTAACTTCTTCCTAATTGTTAACCATTTCTATGCTTTTCCTTGGTCAGCATGACCAAAAGCTGGAGGAGGGCGTCTTATTCAAGGAGGCACTTTGCATACTTACATCCATAATAATTTCTCTCCATGTCTCACAATTAAGTCTTATTTACTGAAGTCCCAGTTTGAAACAAAAGGTTTTATTTAAAACAAATAATTTTGCTTCTATAAGTGTAAAACAGCATTGAATTCAGTGTCTACATTTTCCATTGTGGGCAGACTTTAGCCATCATTTGATTATGAATTAGCAGACACATTTTAAGACAGTAGATGAGATTCTGTTTATTGACTGTTTTTCTGCTCAGACTCTGAGCTTCTGCTGAGGGAGCGTATTGAATCCCCAACTTTACCTCTTCTCAGGCAGAAAAGTGAAGAAAGTGATAGTCGTTCAGTCATGTCCAACTGTTTGTGACCCCATGGACTGCAGCTCATCAGGCTCCTCTGTTCATGGAATTCTCCATGCAGGAATATTGGAGAGTGTTGCCATTCCCTTCTCCACAGGATCTTCCCAACTCAGGGATTGAACCCTGGGCTCCCGAATTGCAAGCAGATTCTTTACTGTCTGAACCAAGGCAGAAGGCAGTGAAAGTCCCCCAAAAGAACTATTGTGGTATAAATGTGAAATGAACTATCTGTTTTCCTATTGTAGTAGATGATGCCTAACTTAAATTTTAGAAGCAGATGGGTAGATTTCAACACTGAGGTTAATGTCACAAGGCTCATGTCTGGTGATACTGCGGCCATGGTGTCCCGACTATAGCTCAAGTGAAACACTTTCCCCACTGGTTCTAGATAAGTCTTCTGTATAGAACAGAAGGGCAGTGAGCAAGTCTTCTGTTTCTAGTGCACATTCAAATCCAGGTGGGAAGATGGGTCAGGTGGGTTTCCATGACTGGACGGCAGCGGCACAAGCAGTCCTCTTCGAGGTTCCATACTCCCAGGCTCGTGAGACCAGGTCCTCACTCCTGGCGTAGCTGTGACAGCTGCCAGGCTGCAAAGGACCTGGGGCGATGGAAGTTGAGGTCAGGAATCTAAAGCACACCCAGAATGCACGTATCGAGCACCACGAAAACTAGGGGAGACCCAGATTCTGGGTGGGGCCACAAGAGCCCACATCCCAGCTCTGCTGAAGACTCCCTTGAGTGGTGTGGGCGTGACTCACCTCCCTCTGCTCTTTTAGCATCACAGTGCTCCCACGTCTCGCAAGAGAGCAAGTGTCACCTCAGACCACAGGGTACCCTTTTGTTCCTTCAGGTAGGTTTGTGTCAGAACCTTCCCTCTTGAGAGTAGGTCCTGAGAACCTGTCTCTGGCACTGAGATGCAAAGTGCACATCTGAATGTTGAAAACTGCAGGCAGGCGGGCCTGCGTCAAGGAGACCCATTCAGTCCAGCCTCGCCAGACCCGTCAGACAGAGGGACTGTGTCAGACACCCCCTTGGGATGACATCACTGCTCGTGTGTCCTGTGAAGCCTGGCTGGTGGGCCACATACCACCCTGTGGTCCTGACATTGGAGGGATTCGAATAAGTCTGATCCCACATCTCCCATCACCTGTGCCCTCTGCAAGCACAGCTTCCCAGGACTTCCTGGAGGCTGGGAGGCTCCCACATCTAGAACCTGTTAAATGCTGTTGCTGGTCCCTGTGCAGCTCCACGGTACATCTCTTTACTCTCTAAACTGGAAGCTAAGAGAAAAACCAGTGGAGGATTTGGAAGAGATAAAGAGGACATTTTAAAGAAATGCATTATGTTGTAAATACCTGCTAACAGTCATTGAAGACCAGCAGTGGAAGCAAGGAAGGCTGCAAGCTTCAGAAGTGTAAGCGGAGTAATTTTTTTCCAAGTGATTATCAGATACAGCCAGCAGTCTGATTAAGCACATCACTCCCTTGGATGCTGTCTCCCTGATCACTTTCAAGGCTCAAAACAGGAGTCTCCATAGGCTGGTTGACCGAGAAAATCACATCGGGGAAGCCATGAAATTTTTGATATTTCAGAAATTTACATGGAAATTGTATTTTGCTGACCTGGTTGATAGAAATGGCAGGGTTCCTTTCACTGGACTGGACATGTTTCACCTTGATGTTCTAATACCAGAGCCACACCGCCTGGAGCAGAGAACGAGGGCTTGTAGAATGGAGACTGTCCCCCAAAGGGTGATGTCGGGTGAGCCCCTGACCTCTGAGAACCCCAGTCCTTCTTCCCAGGAGTGAGGTTGCAGAGGTCTGTGGGGAAAACATCTAGCCAGGTGCCCGTAGTTCAGTAAAAGTTAATTTCCTCTTTTCTCTCCCCATTTGTGAGTAAATAACAATTATTAGTACTAGAGCAGGTTTCGATTTGTAAACATTGCTGAAAAAAAATCAAAACAAGAGGACTAACAAGGAGAACAGTGATAGGGAGCTTTGGAATACAGAGGTTCTGGAACTTTGCAGTAAGTTAGTTTCATAGCAGTTTTTGTGGCACCACTGTTTTTAATAACAGAAATTTAATACTAGTTGCTTTTCTTTAAACGATGATCAATTATGATGTCACACGATGAAAAGGAGTTAGCAACTTCCTGTGTTTGGGAATTGCTACACTGGTGCTGAGGGTACCTGGTTTGGCCACCAGGAGCCCTGGGGTTCATCACAGCCCCCCCGGGAGCCTCCGTGGACAAACGGAGTGAGAGCATCATTTAATATAATAGAAATAATGTGATTGTAATAAAACATTGTCATCAGATTAACAGCTCAAGCCATGAAAACAAGTGTGAGCACTCTGCCTTCTGCATCATGGGGAGATGATGCTCTCGTCAGCTGTGCTTGGGTCTGGGGAATGCTGTCATGGAGATGCAGCCGCTATGTGATCTGAGTATCATCCCACCTTCTCCTTTGTTTTGTCAGGGAGAATTCTTCCTGCTGGCACACCGACCCCTCCTCTCCCCGGGGCGTCCAAGAGTCTTGTGGCTGCCTGGTAGGTTTCCTCCATGTTTTTGATTTTTCAAAAGCCTAAACCTCAAGGAACAGAAGTGAGTTCACCTATTCTCCCAATTCACTCAACCCTCCCCTTCCCTGCCTCCCCTTCCACATGTCCATTCTCTACGTCTGCGTCTCTGTTCCTGCCCAGAAGCTAAGTTCATCTGGACCATTTCTCTGGATTCCATCTATATACATTAATATATGATATTTGCTTGTCTCTCTCTGACCTACTTCACTCTGTATGACAGACTCTAGATCCATCCACATCTCTGCAAAAGTCCAATTCTGTTCCTTTCTATGGCTAACACTAATGTGTGTATATATACATATGTGTATGTATATACACACTTCTTTTTTCTCCGTTGACCTGTTGATGGACATTTAGATTGCTTCCATAGGTGCTCTGTGATGACCTAGATGGGTGGGATGAGGGGAATGGTGGGAGGGAGGTCCAAGAGAGTGGGAATACGCATATAGCTGATTCCCTTCCTTGTTCAGCAGAAACTAACACAATATTGTAAAGGATTTATACTCCAATTAAAAAAAAAAAAACGAGTCCACCCCCATCTGAAAAATCTTCGTTTTTGGTAACTAAATGAACTTTTGAAATAAATGACTCTTAGGTTTCCTTGATTGGGTGCTTCTTGGAAAGGTGTCATGATATGGTTTCCAGGGTGACCCTCCCATTCATTTTCCATTGGGCGCAATCAGCGACAGTCCAACAGTGGAGCTAGAATTGCACTTTGGGGGGAAATTTCCCAGAATTTCAAGGCAGTGACCTCAGGTTTCTTGTATTTTTATTTGAGTTTTGAAAGCTGGATGTTAAAAATCTAAGACATCACGTGGCTCTTCTAACTATGGTTGAGCAATACAATGGCTCACAGAAGTAGGTTACCCCCGTTACAGTGAGAGAGATACTGTCCAGTCTGTTGAGAATGGAGTGAAGTTTATGTAGATAACTGGTTGGAGCTCATCTCAAAGGAAATCTCAAGAGGCAGTTAGTAAAAGGCACAGGACTATTGGCTAAAATCAACAAACAGATATGGCTATCCTAATTTACAGGAAAAAAATAAGACAAACAAAAATCTTAATTTAAATTGAGTTTTAAGAAAATGACCATGTGCACATGTTTATAAGTCTTTTCTGTTTAGTGGTCCACAGGGTGTGTATTAGTTGCTGAGTTGGTTCTGACTCTTTGCGACCTCATGGACTGTAGCCTCTGTCCATGGAATTCTTCAGGCAAGAATATTGGAGTGTGATGCCAATCCCTTCTTCAGGGGATCTGCCCAACCCAGGGGTTGAACCCATGTATCCTGCATTGCAGGCAGATTCTTTACTGTCTAAGGCACCAGGGAAGCCCTCCTAATAGTGTAGTGACTTTAGAAAGGCTTCCTTTCGATGGATTTAGTCTCCTTTCTTCTCTTAGACCAAATGTCTGCACTCAGGTGAGGCAGTTACATAGCACCATGGGCGTCCAGGTAGGGCCCACCAGAGGCCACTGATGGATGCCGCATGTTACCCTTTTGGCCTTGGCCATTGGTGATTCTATTTGCTGCTCCTTTGTGGTGACCGGCTGTTCTGCCCAAGTTCTTTATGGACCCAATGATTTGTTTCTTCCCCGTCTTGTTTATTCCATTAACTCAGGAACCCTATAAGTTTTCACTCCATGCTCTGATTCTTTGGCCTTGATTCACTCATTCTGTTAGACTGGTACTTTTTACTACAAGCTCCCTGAAATTTATTGGAATTAGATTGGGTGTCAGTATCAGAGGAATGAATGAATGAGTACCAGAATGGTTGATGTTGAATTTGCTCCAACTCACATGAACTATGAGATCTCAGAAATATGTGTGCAAGGAGAAAAGCATTTCCTGTGAAGAAGCTCCATAGCCAAGGGAGCTTCAGAAATGTGAGAGAAAGCCCCATGTAACAGGTCTCTTTGCCGTAGCTCCTGTGAGGTGCTCAAATCACAAGGAGGGGAAAGAGGCAGCTTTTAGTTTATCTGACTAAAGAATCCTTGTTCTTGTGTGTGTGTGTGGCGCAGAGGTGCCTTGGCAGAATCCTCCGGAAACGCTAGTCCTCTCGTTAGGAGTCAGAGGCCCTCAGGAGAGAGGGAGTCAGGTGGTCCCTGCTGGGCAAATATTTCCAGGTTCCAAGACTTTGAGTGGCTGCCGAAGAAGAGTTTGGTTTCTGTTTCAGGCATTTAGGGAAGAAACACATTCTTTTGAATTTTCTCGGTTATCATCCTCTGACTCTCTTGGTGGTTCATCAAATGCAGGATGACCCCAGTGAAAATGTGTTTTCCCTTTTGAGTTCTTACCTATCTGCCCAACTCATATACAGGCAAGGATCCGAAGTCCCCCAATCTAACTAATGGCAAAGGTCGCAGCAGAATTCTGGTATAATTTTCAAATGTAGGTGACTCTTGGAGACATGAGGAATCAGAACATATAAAAGGCCATCAATGAGTCGCTGAAAAAGTGAGGGCTGGGAAGAGTCACATTGACTTTACTTAAATAGTCTCGGGAAAGCTGCATGTGGGTTGTGAACAAGCTTCTACTTCCCATCTTTGGAAATGATTGCAGGAGTGCCCCAATGCGAGCACCAGGGCTCCCTACCTGACCAACCACCTGGGCCACCAGCTTCTCAACCTCTCTGGCCTCCCCCTGGAGGAGTATTTGCTGGCACCGACGGAAAAACTGAGGTGGGTTTGAAACCTCTGCTGTATCTTTCCTGTTCTCAGAGTTGCTTAGGAAATCTGATCATTTCAAATGCTGATGTTCTTCAAAGCTCAGAAGTCTCCTGCTAACCTTGGTACTCATAAAAATTCCAAAGCGGTGCTGCAGAACTTAATCAGATTCCTCCTGCTGACTTTCACTCTGGCCCCAGGGTGAGTGGGGGGGGGGGTCATGTTCATGGAGTGTCACCTGGGGGAGCCAGAAGCAGTTTGACTGCTTTAGAGGATAAGCCCTGAGACGTTCACAGCATAATGAGTGAAGCTCTCCACGGTATCCTAAAGTCCCTCTTAAGAGATTTTGCGGCGAGCTTTTATTCTGTGCTGCATTTCCTTGAGCCTAAGAGGGGGAATCTAGATGAGAGGATAGGGATGAGCTGCTCATTGATTTAAATTGCAGTCATACTCACTATTCCATCAAATTTCCTGAGACCTCCCAACACAAAAGCATCATTGCATGGTGTGTCTGCGATGCCTAGAACATCCTCCCACCCCACCCCCAGGTTCTGTTTCCTTCTGATGCTTCTTGGACCATGTCTGGCCCCCGCTGCCCTCCCTTTGTGCCTTTAAACACATCGAGGAATCTCTGATTTTTGAAGGTGGGCACTTGTGTGCCCAGGACTTAGAATAGTATCTGGTATACAAAAGGCACTCAATCAGTGAATGATTGAGTCTCTGAAATGAATGACTGAGTTAAATTGAGCCTAGTGGGAATCTATCCTCCTTCTTTTGCCCCAAATTTCTGCTCACAATCCAGGCACAATGGTGGAAATTTGTTGTTTTAATCTTCTTTTATCCAGAGACTGGGAAACAAAGTTTAGTGTGTGTTTTTATTTCTAATGTTCAATATTTTTAGAAGCTTCATAAGTGCTAAATATAGTATATAACCCAAGGGATGTAGAGAGGAAAGACGTAATTCACCCCACATCCCAGGAGAAACTCACAGAGCTGTATAGGAGATGAACTGGCAAAAAAGACAGTTAAGGCCCAGCATAGCAGTCAATGTGAGAAATGGAAACGTAAGGTCTTGTGTGAACCCCAAAGAGAAGGAGATTCACCCCAATCGAAGTAGCCAGGGATTCCTGCCGGCAGGACACAGTGTGTGAACAGAGGATGAAAGAAGCAAGAGGAAGAAAACAAGTCAAAACAGGCTGAAAACTCAGAAGAGCAGGACAGACCAGAGGTTGCTGAAAGCTGATCTTTAGGAGAAATGACCGTTAATTAGAATACCAGCCGGACAGGTGAGCACAGCAAAGTCCTGCACAGGGCATGTTTCCTAACATGGTGGTGAGTTCTGAGAGGCTCATATTCTAACGTGGGTGAGGAGTGAGTGGCTTCATCCATCCTTGCTAAAAACTCAGCACCCTCCTCAGACACCTGCCTGGGGCCAGGCCGCATCCCGCAGCAGGCTGACCCGGTGGGCTGTGACCCAGAGCCTGGAAGTTCAGCAGCCACTGTTTTATGGGCTCTATGACCGGTGTGGTGGGTGGGGGATGCCCTCTGTTAGGAGGGCCTGGTGCTGCCTGGCAGAAGCTCTAACCTCTTGTTTACTTCCCCAGGCTCGGAGGATGGTCTTTTGGAGTGCAAATCCCCAATCAAGTTCAAGACACAAATTCAAATATGTCAAAACCCCAAAATCTGGCAAAGGTACAGTCTTTCCTTTTTCCTTTTTCTTCTTGTTTTAGAAAGCATTCCGGGAAACTTGCTTTGTACCCTCTGTGGGTACTGGCAACATCGAACCAAATACCAGTGTCTGTTACCCTGAAATACAGCCAGTTGTACGTGAACATTCTCTTGGAAAGAGAAAATGAATCGTTTCCTTTAGGCTATTTAGAAATATATGAAATAGGTCACTGTTTTTTGTTAAGATGGGAATTCACCTGATAGATCCAAAGCCAATAAGGAAAGTAATCTTCTTTTAAAGACACTTAACAAAAAAAAAAAAAAAATAAAGACACTTATCATCAGGGTGGGGCTTTCCAGGTGGCGCAAGTGGTAAGGAATCTGCCTGTCAGTGCAGGAGACATAAGAGATGCAGGTTCTATCCCTGGGTCAGGAAGATCCCTTGGAGGAGGGCATGGCAACCCACTGCAATATTCTTGCCTGGAGAATCTCACGGACAGAGGAGCCTGGTGGGCTACAGTCCATAGGGTTGCAAGAAGTCGGACACAACTGAAGGGACTTAGCCACAGCAGCAGCAGCATCAGGATGACAGTGATCTTGATACGTGCATTTATTAACCAAAAAGTTCATTTGGGTTTTTCCTGTAACATTCTGAACCAACTTTTGGGTCAATCCAATAAATTCCTTTTCTTCCTGATGACTGGATGGACCCAGTGTGGTGAGCAGGCAGGACCCCTCCCAGGGGTTGGATTTTTAAGCCCTGTGGGTCTGGCCCTATGAATGAGGAAAATTCCTTGGGCATTACCGAGAGTGGCCAGGAAAGACCCCCTTACCCACCAGTACCACCCCTACCCCCTTACCCACCGAGGAACCCGGAGGCAGGGAATCAGGACAGGTTTCCCTAAGGAAAGAGGTTGGTACAACCTTAAGATGGGAAAGATTTGAAGCTTGAAGTCTTGGTGATTGGGGAAATAGTCTGGCTTTGGTCCCGATTTTGAGAGAAATTGGGAAAGAGTAAGTCGTGGGAGTGGTGTGTATGTGTGTTAGCTGCCCAGTTGTGTCTGACTCTTTGCGACCCCATGGACTGTAGTTCTCCAGGCTCCTCTGTCCGTGGGATTTTCCAGGCAAGAATACTAGAGCAGGTTACCTACTCCAGGGGATTTTCCTGTCTCAGGGATCAAACCCATGTCTCTTGAGTCTCCTGCATTGGCAGGTAGATTCTTTACCACTAGGCCACCTGGGAGTGGAATCTGCTTGTATACCTGTCATATCACTGATGAAATGTCTCTGCCTTGTCGTGGGGCCTTTCATGGTTCATGGTGACATGGAAAAGCTTTTCAGGATCCAGGCTTGTGCCTGTCGAAGGATTATTCAGTGAAATAAAGGTGCTTTACAGGTTTTTAACAATGTAATCCCTGGTGAAAAAGTTAACATTCATACTTCACAGTGTAATCACAGAGAGAAGTTTTAACAGTCATATTTCACAGTGTAATCCCTGATGAAAAGTTCCAGTCCCTGTGTAGACTGTTCAGACATCCCTTATTTCAACTGAGGTTTGTTCAAATCTCTCTCATGCTGCAGGCCACACACAGGGAAAGATTTGTAGCTTAAGATGAAAAGATCAAGATTCATAGCTTGATAGAAAAAGAATCTAAACTCCCTTTGCTGGCTTTTTGAACACATGATGTGACTGTTATTAAAGTAAACCCAGTTTGTAGGAGAAATCTGCTCATTTCCTCTGAGAGCATTTTAAGTTTCTGCTCTGTGTGAATACACCAAGCCTCCTGCAGACGGTGGAGCGTCCCGTCTGTGCTTCTAGGGCCTGGGGCGGTGCAGCCAAGGCTCTCCCGTGTCTCTGCTCCCGAGATGAGAGCTCAGCACCCTGTGTCTCCCTGACACCTGCTCCTTTCCCTCTTTGTCTGTCTTCTGTATCAGCGTGTTTGAGCAGTGACTTCTGCAGCTTTTGGTGTTGTTTGACATGGACTTTGCCATACTCAGGCATGCAAGTGTCCAGCCCTTTGGGGAGAGAGCCTCTTTGCAGGGAGCTCAACGATCATGAGTCTGCATTCGACTCTAAAGGGCATCTGTTGTCTCAGGTTCCCATAGCTCTGTTGGTGGTTGATGTCATGTCAAATTATTACATTAACCTTTCAGTAATTAACCACCAGCCTTTTACTTTGGCCTTTGGGGTACATTCATAAGACATAGAGTTTATGATTTTCGGAGTCTTTTTGAGGAGAAACTGGGAAATTTGCATATGAATAGGCTTAAAGCTTAAAATCCATCATATTTTATAATATCCTCGTGGAGCCTTAATGAATGGTTTCATTCACATCATGAGTGTTCAGCTGGCTTGGTTAAACACCCTCTAGAATGCCTTTGCTGCTGTTCAGTTGCTAAGTTCTGCCCAACTCTGTGCGACCCCGTGGACTGTAGCCCTTTACCGTCCCTCTGTCCATGGGATTTCCCAGGCAAGAATACTGGAGTGGGCTGCCATTTCCTTTCTCCACGGGGTCTTCCAATCCAGCAGTAAAACCCACGTCTCCTGCGTTGGCAGGCGGATTCTTTACCTCTTAGCCACCAGGGAGACCCTCTAGAATGTACACACTTCAGTTTAAGGCTAAACACACTGCCCTCTTGGTGTTTGGCCTTCATTCTGTTCTGTTCTCATGTAGACTTTTAGTTATTTGACTATCCACCCAGAGATTTTTTTTTTCCTTTCAGTAACTTAGTTGCCTCTCTGAGGAACCGTTACTACGGATCCTGACATGAAAGGTCTGTTTTGAGGTGTCATGATAAGTTCCTAAAAGGAGGTTAACTTCCTCCTTCAGCTATTAGATTTATTGATCCTGACTAAGAGACCAGCAGGGAAGGAAGTCCCATAACTTATTTAAGATCATCATGAAGCATCTATCGCTTACTTAAAAGAATTTATAAAATTTCTCCCAAGCAAAAGCCAATTTGTAGTAGAACCGAAACGATGTTCAAATTGCTCCTTGAAACTCTGTGTGTTGGTCACTTGTGCCCACGATGACACCACGGTCGTCAGGACCCTCAGCAGCTGGCCATCGTGGGGCTGGCTGGGGCTTTGGGGGGCTGCGCTATGCACAGATGCCTGGTCTCCCTCTGGCGGGGAGGCTCCCTGACCGGATCCCACCTGGCGCCCGGCACTGTCCCCATGGCCGTGTTCCCATGCCCAGACTCTTCTCTGCCAGGCACTTCTCCCGTCATTTCTGACGGCCACGAGTGGGGATTTGGAAACAGGCTGACGGGGCAGCTCCTCACTGGCCTCCTGCCTGCAGAGAGCAGGGCTGGAGCCCTCAGGGTCTAGCATGGCCGCATCCTCTGCCCTCTGACTTGGCCCCCTTGATGATCCCTGGCATCTCATAATGAGCATTTTGGGACGTCAGGGTCCTCAGGGTTATACCCCTTAGGCAGGAAGCCCCTCTGTCCCCTGAGAGGGTCAGTGGGCACCACCCCTCCCTCAGCAAGCATCACCAAGTTTCACGGCCACACCTGTGACTTGGTCTTGACCATGAGGCATCCCTCTTGACCTTTGGCCTGCAGACTGTGTCCCTGAGTGGAGAGGTTTGTCAGCTGCTGGCCTCAGCTGGGATGATGGTGGAGACCCAGTCCTGGTGGCTGTCTGGGGCACCGCGGGGCCCGGGTCACAGCCCCATGGCCGCGGATGGAGGAGAAAGGGAGCGCCGAAGCTGAAGCTGATGGGGAGGGGTGGGCGAGACGTCCAGGCTCTGGGGTGCCCGCCCCACCGCAGCTACCCCAGTTTGCTCTCTCTGTTTTTGTACAGTGTTTTTTTTTTTTTTAAATACAGTTCCCTGTGCTGTACAGTAAATCCTTGTTGCTATTTTATTTTAATCAATCAATCAATTTTTAAAGATGAAAAAAAATTTTTTGCCAAACCGCGAGGCAGGCGAGATCCTAGTTCCCCAGCCAAGGACGGAACCCGAGGCCCCGCACTGGAAGTGTGGTGTCTTGGCTTCTGGACCACAATGGCATTTCCGTGTGCAGTGTCATTTCTAAGCTGAAAAAAATGTCACCCTGCTTTTAAAACAAAATTTCGAACAAACTAATTTGGAGACCCCACGTCAAGGGCAGAGAGCACCCTTGGCTTTCATGTTTTTTCCTCCAGTTAAGCAGTTAGTGGAGCCAAGACTGGTGGTGGGGGGAGCAGGTTGTGGACTGTGGTTCCCGTCCACAGCGGAGGTTTTCTTCTGTATGTCCTTTAACTTTAGCAGTCTCGCATTTTACGTCATTGTATCCAGAAGCATAGCTAGTCCCTGTATGTTAGCACATCTGCAGGTGTGTGTGTTTGAAGGCGGGGGTGGTGAGAGGTGGATTAGGGGTTCCTGCAGGGACTGGGGTCCCTGTTGGGTACAGAAAGGGGACAGATACCCTCTGGCAAATGATCTCAGTGCAGGGCAGGGCGGGCTGCCCTGTGAGGGGAACCCACGCTTTCCCCTACTTTTCAGAATCTTGTGTCTGATTTACACCCGTTTGTGATTCTGTGGATTTTTCTGTCACCAGTCTCAGATCCACTTGAGCATAGCCGAGGGTTGTCCTGGGTCTGTGGATGGTCGGTCTTGAGCAGAGTTTCTTCCTCCTTGGAGTTGGAAAGAGTGACTGCTGAGGGTTTCCCTGAACCTAAGAAACTGTTTGAAGATGGGGGTGTGCAATGACAGCTGCTGTGACAGAGGGCAGAGTTCTGCCTCCTAATCACCATGTGGGGTGGACTTCCTAGGGGAGAGCTGGGCCACCGTCCTGCAGAGATAGGCATTTCATGAGCTGTCACTGGATACTTGATTCTTCCCTGTGAACTCAGAACACTGGTGGAGACAACTGGTCACCCTGTGATGGGGTTGGGCAGGGGAACGGGTTGGAAGCCCGGGGACCTGAGCTTTGGCCTTAACTTTGCACAAACTGTGAGAGCCTTCACAGCTTCTTCTGAGCAGGAACCAGCAAGAGAGCAGCTCTAATTCCACAAAGAAGATTGTCACAGAAGACAGTGTCATCTAGAGAAATGAACTTGAATTAAGGTCAGAATTTGCTGGTTGATTCATTATCTCTTAAAGACACTCACCAGCATTCCACTGAGTGCATTAAAATTTTTTTCATTAAAATATCAATATTGTGAGATATAGATACTGATGGTTCAATTAGTATTTTTTATGCTACTTCTTATTTCAATTTTAATAATATTGTCTGTCTCCTGTTTTCTCCTTCACCTTCCTCCTGTCTGATGGGCCTGCTGCTTTATTCTCCACGCTCAGCAAATGTTCACTTCAATTTATTTTGAGGAATAATGTTCCATATTCAGTTATTAATTTGAGAGTCATCATTTTTTTCTTATCATTTCCGTGCTTTTAATTTGCAGGTCAGATTTCATTAGCTTACCAATGGAGAAAGAAGGAAAAAATGATGGGCTTAGATTCCTTTTTTGCTGTGAGAATATAATTATGGAGCAACACTTACATTTGTTCTGGGGAAAATTAATCTATTTTTAGCTATAAATTATATGCTGGAGATAAATATAAAATTAGCAGGCTGGAATTCACTGCTCACTGTCAGCCATGCAGGACCATTACACTGAGGCCTGTGTTCAGGTGATGGAGAAGCAAATTTGCACGTGTTCCTTATATCCGAGAACAGCTTATGAACAGACTTAAGAACTAATCTCAGCAGGGCCATTAAGTTATCTTTTCTTTTAGGTGTGGTACAACCAGAAAGGCTTCCACTCCCTGCCTTCCTACCTGAATCATCTCAACAATCTTATTTTGTGGAGGCGCTTACCCCCTACCGCAGACTGGAGACAGTACGGTAATGTTATTCTGTGTGCATTTTCTAATCCACTACTTTCCAAAGACAGTGTTGCTAAATGGGAAAGAATCAGAAAAAGTTGTGAGCAGAAATGTGAAGAGTGACGCGAAGTTTCTGTTTGGCAGCAATCTGTGTAGAAATGCATCCACATCGAGAGGCTGTGGTGGCTTTTGTGTGTGTGTGTCCCTCAGTGTCTTTACCTGTGGAGTTGTGACCTCAGCTATGAGAGGACAGCAGTCAAAGGTGACTAGAGAGCTCACTCCTAGTGACTTAGCGTCTTCCAGAAGCAAGAGTAATTGCTCTTTCTAAAGACTCTATCGTATGGTCCAGGTCACCATTACTGATGGGAAGGAGCTCATCGCTTACCATAATTTACTCTATGCTGAGCCCTCCACTCATCAGTTACCTGTGCTGACTGTGAATTCATGCCCTCATTTTGGTAAATGACACGGGTCCATTTCTGGAACCCAAAGTGGATTTATTGGTTTAAGGGGATGTTATATGCTTCACTTGAGTAGTTTATCAAATTCATTCAGTTCTTTGGGAAAAAAAAAGAAAGAATAGAAGCAGATGTATAAATACCAGCAGGTCATAGCTATCATAATTTATTTACAGGATTTTTTTGAAGCATTAATTCACATAGAAATAAATGTTAAACCGTTTCCCCAGTATGCCATGACTTTACTCCAAATTCATTCTGCTGTTTTTGTTTTCCCTTCTCCACCAATTTTCAAAATAAAACAGATTTAATTATTCTGTGGCACTGCAATTGTTTTGGGATGGCAGTACATATAATATAAAAATGTGTATGCCAAGTGAAGTGCTGAAGAGTATAGAGTGCTATGGGTGAGGGACAGCAGAGTGTGTTTATTATGTCTGAAATGTACTAGGGGCATTAGATGTTCTTATATCCATGGTCCCATTTAGTTTTTGTGTTTATTTGGTAAGGTGGGTGGCATTTGCCTCTTTCACTGTTTAAAAAAATTGAGATTCAGAGGAATCACCCATTACCTGCTTGTTGAGTGATGGGGCCACAGTTCGGTTCTAGGTATAGCTGATAACACAGCCTTTGCCTTTCTGCTGCAACAAACTGAAAGGGTGCTTCTAATAGGCACAAATGGAGCATGCTTCATGGAGGGGAGCATGCTTCATGGAACATGCTTCATAGACAGGAACATGCTTCATGGAACATGCTTCATGGAGGAGAACATGCTTAATGGAGGGGAGCGTGCTTCATGGAATGTGCTTCATGGAGGGGAACATGCTTCATGGAATATGCTTCATGGAGGAGGTCACTAACACTGGACCTGGAACATGAGCAAAAGTGTGACTGGTGTCAGGATGCTACTGTGGGTACTAGTGGTGCTGATATGAGAGAAGTCAGAGCATCTGCTCAAGTTCCTGGAGGAAGTTCCAGTTGACCTCATCCTGAGGGCGAGTATCCAGGAGCACTGTTGATGTCTCTGAGAGGGTGTCTGAGGCCAACTTCTGCTTGACCTTGGCTGACAGGGGAGGATGATGGCCTTTATGTAATGGGCAGCCAAAAGGCTTGGTCTGTATCTGAGAATGAGGATGGCAGGATCCCAGGAGTGTGTTAGGAAGAATAATCCGAAACCACGTGGGAAAGGGAGGAGCCCTGGCTGCTACCATGTGCCCTGCTGGAAGGATGCTGCTCCCAAGTTAGAAGTAACCCAGGTAAGGCCAAGATACCTCAAGGCAAACAAGTGAAAATTATCAGCTTCAAAGAGGTGGGAGGAAAGGTTGAGCCTTTGGAGAAGGGAACAGAAAGAAAAATTAAGAATTTGTCGTCAGGACATTTAGAGGAAGAGTTTAAAGGATTAAGAATTAAAATATAAATCTGAGCTTTTACTAATGAATGATGTAGTGGTCAGTACTGATGGCCTGGGACTGATTCAGGAGAAAGAGACAGAGTGAGGGATTTTATAAGTTCAGAGGTGGTGGGTTCATGTCACATGTCAGATGAAAATACACATGCAACAGGATTCAGACAGCTGGAGATATGAGGTCAGGAGAAGGGTTGTGAATAAAAACCATTTAGCTCAAACTGACATGGAGACAGGAAAGTTGGGGTGGGAGAGGGTGGGAGTAGGAAGGAGGCAGAGGGGCTGTGGCCCGAGGTGAGAGATCTCGGCACAGAGTCCAGAGAAAGGTAGAGTGTCAGGAAGAGCAGGAGAAAAAATCACCCAATATTCCAGCGTCTCCAGGAAAATGGGTGTGCAGTGCATTGGCTGGTGGCTTCTGTGGAGCTGGACATGGGGACTTGTGGAGATGGAATCAGAGGGAAGGAGGGTGGTGAGGGAGTCCTTTTCAGGGATTTAGGAGGCCAGATGGATAAACTCTGCTCTGTGGGAGGTTGGCTGTGAGGATGAGCAGGGAGTGTGTGTGTGTGTGTGTGTGTGTGCATGCACAGGCATGTGCACCTGTGTGTAACACAAGGAGCGGTTGGGCCTGGGAACAGTGTAACTAGCCCATAGGCGTCCACCAGTTGTGTCTCCTCTGCCCTGTTTTCTGGGTTCCCAGACCTTCCTGGGGAGGGGGTCAGCTGAGAAGCATCCACTGGTAGTAGACTTTGTTCCTTTGTTGTAAGGTTGTGTTGACTTGAAGAAGACATTTATCATCAGCTACTGGCAACTTCTTGACCAGTATGTTATCTGTGTCACATCCCAGTTCCTCTTGGCGTGTGTACGTGGTCCTCATGGGAAGGAGGGTCTATGAGGTGAATCGGGAGCACAGTCTCTCGGGAGAATGTGTGGTGACCTGTCATAGCTGAGCGTTAATTAAGGACTCTGATGAGCAGGGCTCTTCACAGAAGCCCCGCCTCACATCCCTGGCTGTCTCTCCATCTGTGATGGACAGGCAGCGAGCTGTTAGCTTAGCCATTATGATGACTCACCGGCCGTGGGACTCAGGCAGGGCCATGCAAGCAGAGCCTGAGTCCTGAGCCCAGCAGAACCGGGAACCTGATCAGTGGGCATCTTGTCAACAACCACTGATGAACCACTCTGCCTATGACATACCTGCTTCTCGTCTCCATGGACCTGGGTCATGGCACACCTGGACATCCCTGCCTTCAATGGAGGAGCTTTCTGAGCCCTGACCTAGCCTGGCCACCCTGCTGTGCCCCGGCAAATTTGCAGCTTGTCAGGGCCCCCCTGATTTTAAGTGTGAAACTCAATGTAAAGCAGGTGACTAGCCTAGCCCAGCACCTGGAGTCATCGTTAGACCCACTGGCAGGCTGGTGGCGGTCTAGATGAGTAGATGTGTTCATGCACAGGCTCTGCAAGGAGACTCTTCCTCCCGCATGAGTCCACGCGTCCTGCTCGGTGACTGCCCACAGTGGCCTGGACAGTTGTGGGTTCTGGGCAGAGCATCTTGCAGCCGGAGAGGGGGCAGGTGTGGAGGTGGCCTCAGTTCATCTGAGGAGTAGGGGTCACAGAATGTGGCAACTCCGAGGCTTCGTTCTCATGTCAGCAGGATAGTCACAAGGTAAGGGAGACAGTGGGGGACGGGGAGGCCTGGCGTGCTGCCGTCCATGGGGTCTCATAGAGTTGGACACAACTTAGCAACTGAGCAACCACAACAGCGAGGTCATGTGATGATGTTTTCTGGGTTCCGAGGGAAATTAAGTCAGTTGAGGCCAGGTGCCCCCAGCCTGGACAGTGTCTTCCTGTACCTACCACCATCAGTCAGTCTCTCTGCCCTTGGGATCCTGGATGTTCTCAGTATCTGTACCACCGGCTCCTGTGTCAGCCTCTTGGGCGAGTCCCTGGACTCCCACGTGCCCCCAAGCTCACAGCTGCATGTCCTCTAAGTGCCCACATCTCCCGCAGAGTCTGTCCCTCAGATCACACACCCACCTGCCTTCCTGTATCCCCTGTAATCAAATAAAATAGACTCCCCCCTACAACCTGAGGCCCCCCACTTCGGGCCAGACAGCCCCTCCTGACTCTCTCTTCCAAATTCCTCTCTGCCACACCCCCTCCCTCCTTTCTTCTTGGTTCTTGATGAGCCTGACTGTTTGTCATACCCTCCTGGATGAAATAATAATAAAACCTTCAAACCCAAACCCAAGTTCAGTGCTGCTTGCCCATCACAGGCACCTCACCACCCCCTTCACGTTGCGCACACGTCTGCATCCCCCTGCCGCAGCCTGGGTGAGCCCCTTGGAAAGTACTTTTGTTGCGATTCCATTGATAGTGACTCAAGAATAAGGACATGGTTAAGATGTTGATGCTTTGCTGGGGGAAGCGTTTCTGAGGTGCTGAGGCTGTCCTGGCCCCGTGTTCAGGCATCAGTGCCTGTGTCTCCTCCCACGTCAAACGCCGCCTTCTAACCTGCTGCTGACCTGTCACCGTGCCTGTTCCTGCCATGCTCTCCTCCTGCCCCCTCAGTGGCCAGCACATCACCCCACTCACCTGCTGCCCCTTCGGGCCTGCTCCCTGCTCCGCCTCTGTCCAGAGCACCTCTTTCACTCTTCTTCACCTTAAACATTTCTGCTCAACTTTCTACATTAAAAAAAACAAAACAAAACTGTACTGAGATGCGTTTGACATAGGAAGAGTTGTAAACACAATATAGACACCTTGATGGCTTTGGGGCAAGTATACAACCTGAAACCATCATCATGGTCAGGCCCCTGATGTGACCTTTGCCCCCCTCCGTCCCACACATCTGTCTGTCCATCCATCTGTCATGGTCAGGCCCCTGATGTGACCTTTGCCCCCCTCCGTCCCACACATCTGTCTGTCCATCCATCTGTTTCCCTCTGTCGGTCTGCTGTCACTCCACGGTGGCTCAGCCAGTTAGAGTCTGCCTGTGGTGCTGGAGCCCTGGGCTCAGTCCCTGGGTTAGGGAGGTCCCCTGAGGAGGGAGTGGCTACCCACTGCAGTATTCTTGCTTGGAGAATTCTGTGAATATTCATTGGAAAGACTTACGCTGAAGCTGAAGCTCCAATACTTTGGCCACCTGATGTGAAGAGCTGACTCATTAGAAAAGACCCTGATGCTGGGAAAGATTGAGGGCAGGAGAAGTGGGCAATAGAGAATAAGATGGTTGGATGGCATCATTGACTCAATGGACATGAGTTTGAGCAAACTCCAGGTGATAGTGAAGGACAGGGAAGCCTGGCATGCTGAGGTCCTGGGGGTTGCAAGAGTCAGACACGACTTAGCAACTGAACAACAGCAACCTGTCTATTATCTATCTGTCTATTCCTCTATTATCTATCAATCTGTCTTGTGATTAAATAACATAAAATCGATCCTTTTAGCAGATTTTTAAATACACAATACAGTGCCTTAAACCCTAGGCTCTGCACAGAGGTCTAAGACTTACCGCTTGTTATAATTAAAACTTTATACCTTTGACAGCACCCCCCATCTCCCCTTCCTCCAGCACTTGATAACTACTATTCTATTCTCTGCTTCTAGGAGTTAAACTAGTTTAGAATTCTCATGTAAGTGGGATCATATAGTATTTGTTCTTCTGAGTCTGACCTGGTTAATTCAAGGAAACAATCAATAAAATGAAAAAGGCACTTTATGGAACGGGAGAAAGTATTTGCAGACCATGTAGTCCATGGAGTTATATCCAATATGTATAACACCTCTGACTCAATAGCGAAATAAATAAATAACTTGAATAAGAAATGGGCAGATGTTTTTTAAAGAAGACACACAGACGGCCACATGGGCTGAACTGAGAGTGCCTGGCTGAGTCATACTTTGGTTACTGCGGCAGGGAGACAGACAGTGGGTGAGTGGGAGTCACAGTCAAGGGCTCCCCGCTTGCCTCCCCTCTGAACTCAGAGTTGCTCGGACACTGCTGCCCGGCAGGACGGACACCTGAGCTGGGGGCAGGAAGGATGGTCCTGTGTCAGGAGCCAGAAGGAGCTTGCCCCTTCCTCCCATTCCCCCTTCCTCCTCTCCATACCCCACTTTCTGAATACCCTTGGAGGTGACAGTTGGCAAAGGTGCTCTCAGCCCCGGGGAAGGGAAGGTGACTGGGGCGGAGAGCACATGGGAGAATGATGTGCCTGCAGCTGGGGGTGAGGTGAGCCTGTGAGCAGGAGGGAAGCAGGTTATGGTTCTCTGGGTTACTTTTTTTAAACACAGTACCATTTTAGTTACGGTAAGAGTGAGCCTACCTACTCACAGGATTGTTTTAAGAATCAAAGTAATTCTTACGTAAGAGGGCTTTAGGGAAACCACGCAGCCAAACAATTCCAGTTGCTGGTATTTTTCAGGAGGAAGTAATGAGCATATAATTTCAGAATTATCTTTAAAGTTATGTTTGCCTAATGGTTAAAAATAGTTTTTTAAAAATTATAGCAACATACGTACCTCCAAGTAGGAATTTGATATAGTGGAATAGTGTAGAGAGACAATAGGTATCTATGTATATAACATACACACACACTGATTCAGAAATATTAATGGTGGCTTTTTTTGTGGGTAGATGAATCACATAAAATGTTTAAAATTTTTTGTCTCATGCAGTAAGTTATAAATTTTGTCCCATGTATGTATAACTTAAAAAAGAGACTGCTTGAAAAAAAAAATCAGTGTTTCACAGTAAAAACAGCAGTTAGATAGCTCTCCGCAGAATTTTTATCCTAAAAACTTTCACTGTTCAAAGCCTAGAATAGAACAGTTAAATACAAGGCCATTTCCTCAGAGTGATCAGAAGGAAAATATGTTTAGTAGAATTTCCTCCCTACATTCCTTGTGGTGGAATAAGATGCACATCCCGTAGGAATAAACCCCTGAGTCCTGGTGAGAGAGCCAGGCCTGAGAACAGGAGGTCTGGTCAGGTCTGTGCAGAGTTTCAGCACAAAGAGATGTCGGGTGTCAGGAACTGGCCGTCAGCACTGGCCTTCAATTTGTTTGGAGATACTTGAGAGAAAATCCGGTCTCACCCAAGCGGAGGTGATGAGCTCCCTGTGCTGAGAGGGCCGTAGGCACTGAGGTGTCAGGACCAGCCCCTGGCCTCATCAAGGAGGAGTCAGAGCAGAAGACAAAGCCAGCTGTCAAACCCAGCATGGGGTCAGGGGCCTGCCCCACATCTCGTGGAAGGAGGACACCGCACATGCTGAGAAGGGGTTGTTAAGAGAGCATCTTGGGATGAGCTCCCGTCTGCACAGGTCCAGGGAGACATGCGAACTCGTCCAACAGAAGAGAAAAGGGGAAGGACAGCCAGCCCAAGTGGCAGGGTTGGGGCAGAAGATGACTGCCGAGATGCAGATGATGACATAAATTTTCATTGGATGCAGAGTCACTGTATTGACTGCAAGTCTTCCTGTCCCATGTGCAGCCTCCTCAGAGCACAGAGGGAAAGGATGGTGTCATTAAACTGATGATGAGGAGGAGAGCTATTTGGATTAGGTAGAGAAAGAAAACAAATACTTTGTTACTTTAATGTAACAAAGAAAGAAAACAAATACTAATTAACAAAGAATGATGAGAGAAGAAAATGTGCATCAAAAACAAAACAGCATAACTCTGGGCCAACAAAGGAATTTGCCATAAATCAAGCAATATTCCCAAACTGGAAATTATGAGATAGAAATTATTGATTAAAAAATCTGATGATTTTTCTTAAGTTCAAAGCTGAAGAACAGTTTCTTTTACAAAGCTGTGACTGATTACTTTTGAAGCAATACAAATAAGATCAGCTTCTGACTTTCAAAAATTTCCTTTGAGACCTGTTCTTGTACTCGGGGATTATTTAGAAGTGTGTTGTTTAAATTCTAGTCTTGTGGAATTTTCTTGTTACCTTTCTGTCATTGACTTTTTGTTTAGTTCATCATAGTCAGAGAACACACACTCTGCATCTTTTAATGATTTTATGTTGGCTGACGTTTGTTTTATGGTTCAGTTTTGGTTTATCTTGGTGAAGTTTCCATGGGGGATGGAAAAAATGAGTATTCTGCTGTTGTTGGGTGGAGTGTTCTATATATATCGGTTGGGTTTTACTGCCTGGTTTTGTGGCTCAGTTCATCGATACACTTGCTGATTTTCTGTCTGGTAGTTCTGTCATATGCTGAGTGGGGTGTACTGAAGTTCCCAAATACTACAGTGGATTTGTTTCTCCTTTCCACTGTGCCTATTTCCGCTTCATATATTTTGAGGCTCTGATGGTTGGTACATAGTTATCTGTTCTCGGTGGACTAATTCATTTGTCATCGTGTAGCCTTCCTCACTGTTGCTATAATTTTAGCTGCTGAGAAGTCTACTTTAATTGATATTAATATAATTTTCCTGCTTTTAAAATTAATATTTGCACAGTATATCTTTTTTGTCCTTTTATTTCTAGCTTATGTCATTATATTTGAAGTAAATTTTGTGTAGACAGTATAGTTGGATCTTATTTTTTAATCCACTCTTACCAATCTCTGTCACTGAATTGGCATATGGAGACCATTTACATTGAATGGATTTACATTGTGATTCTGACACTTTATTATTTGTTTTGTTTCTTCTGTTTTCTTTTCCATTCCTTCCTGTGAAGTCTGGAACGGTTTTTGGGATTCTGTCTGGTTTAGCTGTCATATTTTGAGTATCTCCCCCAGCTAGTTTTCTTAGTGATTCTAGGTGTTACAGTGTGCATGGGTCTTACTGGTACTGGCATTTGCCACTTTGAGTGCTGCATAGAAACATTACTTGAACTTAGGCCCCTTAGGTCTCTCGATTTGTGAATTATAACAGTCTTAAGTATTTACTTAAAACTGAGCGCCGCCTTATATCCTGTTCTAACGATTTCTTGTGTCACAAAGTATTACTTGAGCAACTCATGTGATAAAGGCCGGTCTGCTATATTTATCTCCATTTTTAACACATCCTGATGTTCTTCTTTCCTTTTGGAAGTTCTGAGTCGTCTTCTGCTATGATTTCCTTTTTGTTTAGAAGACTGACTTTTGCTATTTTAGAGTAGGTTTCAGTTCAGTTCAGTTTAGTCGCTCACTCACGTCCAACTCATTGTGACCCCATGGACTACAGCATGCCAGGCTTCCTTGTCCTTCACAAACTCCCAGAGCTTGCTCAAACTCATGTTCATCGAGTCAATGATGCCATCCAACTATTTTATCATCTGTCGTCCCCTTCTCTTCTCTCCTTCAATCTTTCCCGGCATCAGGGTCTTCTGATGAGTCAGTTCTTGACATCAGGTGGCCAAAGTATTGGAATTTCATTTTCAGCATCAGCAATCAGAATTCAGGATTGATTTCCTTTAGGATTGACTGGTTTGATCTCCTTGCAGTCCAAGAAACTCTCAAGAGTCTTCTCCAACACCACAGTTCAGAAGCATCAGTTCTTTGGTGCTCAGCTTTCTTTATAGTCCAACTCTGATATCCATACATGACTACTGGAAAAACCATAGCTTTGACTAAACTGACCTTTGTCAGTAAAGTAATGTCTCTGCTTTTTAATATGCTGTCTGGGTTGGTAATAGCTTTTCTTCTAAGGAACAAGCGTCTTTTAATTTCATGGCTGCAGTCACCATCTTCAGTGATTTTGGAGCCAGAAAAAATAGAGTCTGTCACTGTTTCCATTGTTTCCCTATCTGTTTGCCGTGAAGTGATGGGACTGGATGCCATGATCTTAATTTTTTTAATATTGACTTGTAAGCCAACTTTTTCACTCTCCTCTTTCACTTTTATCAAGAGGCTCATTAGTTCTTGTCTGCTTTCTCCATAAGGGTGGTGTCATCTGTGTATCAGAGATTATTGATACATGGAATAACAGACTGGTTCCAAACTGGAAAAGGAGTACTCAAGGCTGTATATTGTCACTCTGCTTATTTAACTTATGTGCAGAGTACATCAGGTGAAATGCCAGGCTGGATGAAGCACAAGCTGGAATCAAGATTTCCGGGAGAAATATCAGTCACCTCAGATAAGCAGAGTAGGTTTACTAATGGCAAATTCTCTTAATTTTCTTTCCACTGAGAGTGTTTTAATTTCTCCTTCATTCTTGAAATGTAGTTTCTCTGAATATATAACTCACGGCTGTCAATTAGAAAAGAAAATCCTGCACTTGAAAAATATGCCAATTTCTCTTGGATACCATGGTTCCAAATGAGGAATCCACTGTATTTTGAGTTTGTGTTACCATCTCTTTCTCTGGCTGGTTTTAAGACTTTGTAAGATTATCTTTACCTTTTGGAAATTTGATTATAATATATTGTGGCATGGATTTATTTGTGTTTTCCTGCTTGGGATTCATTTAAGTTTCATTTGGAATTAGCTCTGGACTTTGTAGGTTTACATCTCCTGCCAGTGTAGGAAAGTTTTCAGTCATTATGTCTTCAAGTGCTTTTCCAATCCCCCTCTCTCTTTTCTTCTTGGACTATGATAATAAGAATGTTAGGTCTTCTGTTATTTTCCCATAGGACCCTTAGTTTCTGGGATTTATTTTCTTTGCTTTTTAGCATGGGTAAGTTCTGTTGTTCATCCTCAAACTCACTGATTCTATCATTCTATTTCCACCCAACTGTTGAGTATATCTAGTAAATTTTTTTTTATTTCTGTTACTTTCAGTTTTAGAATTTCCACATAATTATTTTTATCACTGCTATGTTTTTTTCACTGATACACTGAATTATCTTTGCATCTAAAGAGAATTCACAGTCCCATGTTGAAGCATCTTTACAGTCTGTGTTGTCAGGTAATTCTCACATCCTGCCTCATCTCAGTGGTGGTGTCTGTTCACTGTCTCTTTTCTTTCAGGTTGTGACTATTCTGGTTCTTGTTATGAAGGATATTCTCAGTTCAATCCCGGACATTCTGGATGCCAGATTATTAGATTCTGAATCCAGGGAAGTGGTTTTGTTTTGTTTTTAAGCAGGCAGTCCTTCTGTTGAAATCTGGCCTGAGACGAGGTGGATAATGTATGTTGAACCTACCCCTGGGCCCTGCAACAGATCTGCCTTGTTTCGGAGGGTGGGCTGAGATATACTGAGCCTGGCAAATAAGGTGTCAGCATGCCCTGTCTCATTGCTCCCAAGTGAGGGTTTATGTTCATCTCCTAGAGGCCCCTTGACACACCACATGCCCCACCGCAGAGCCCCCTTAGCCTCAGTGATGCTGCTGGGATGGAGGCGTGGCCCCTGACGGGCCGTAGGGCAGGACGGAGCGTGGTGGTGAAGCAGAGCGCCGGCAGCCCTGCCCCACGTGGGGCAGCCTGGGGCTGGGCTTCCCGCTGCCTCACCGCGCTCTGCCTCCCTCTGTCGATCTCGCTGGCCAGGTGTGGGAAAAGGCTCAGCTCACCTTTGAACGCTGGCAGAGGGTGCCAGCTGTCTCCCCAGGTAGGAGGGGAGCCACTTCCAGATGGGACCTACTGTAGGGCAGTTTTCCTAGAGACTTTTGGCTGGAATGGGGGCTGGAGTGGATATTTCTAGGAGGGTTTCCTTTCACTGGGCCACATTTTTCTGACTTCCTGGCTTCTTGGAGCCAGCACAGACAAAAATCTTTCCCTGCTGGCTGTTCCCACTTGGAGGTGGCATCTCGTCTGGATGTGTGGGGGCAGTACGTAAACTTGGGGACACACACAGTGTCCTCCCCTGTGTCCTCAGACCCTTGTTCCTGCCCGTCAGAACCTTTCTCTGAGTTCTGTAGTTCTCTGTTCTGTGAGTTCTCTGAGTTCTCTGTTCTCTGTAGTTCTCCGAGTTCTCTGTAGTTCTGTAGTGTGGTGGCCAAGGCTTTGTGGTCTCACAAGGGAGACAGCCTGGGGGTATTTGGGCTACTCCATTTGGAGGAACCAGAATTTGATTTCTGACTCTAAGCACACTCTCCAAGGCAGCAGGTCCTGTAACACCGCCTACAGAACATGGCAGGAAAAAGCCAGACACCCAAACTCCTGCTCAGTGGTAAAGAATCCGCTTGCAATGCCAGAGACCTGGGTTCGATCCCTGGGTTGGGAAGATCCCCTGGAGAAGGGAATGGCCACCCACTCCAGTATTCTTGCCTGGAATCCCATGGATAGAGGAGCCTGGCAGACTACAGTCCATGGGGTCGCAAAGAGTTGGACACAAGTGAACTACTAACACTTCACCAAACTCCATACATTGTGAAAGTGTTGCTTGTAAAGTAAAGATACCACAGGAATACCCTTCTGTGGGTTGTACCTCAGAAACATACCATCAATATTCCTAGGAAAAAAGAACGCCCAAAGACAGTCATGTAGGAACTTCATCAGGAGTAATATCACAAAAGTATCAAATCCGTAGAGTGAATAAAATAATTTGGTGAACATCAATTCTAGTGAAATACATAGATTATGCACATGTTTGCATAAATGTAGCAAAAAATTAATTGAAGGTCATGAATGATCCATGAGATAGAAGATACCTGAAGTGAAATATAATTTAATAATAATGTGTGTATAGACAAAACCCTGGACATTTTGAAATAATTAATATCAAAATGCAAATAGTGATTAATTTTGGTTGGTTTTGGATTGGATTATGGTTTAATTTTACTCTGTACCCTATTCTTTATCTAAAACCTTTTTATGATTGGCATCTACTACTCAATAAGCATAATAATTAATCTTAATATTGATAACAAAATCTTTTTTTCCAGGAGAGATTAAGAGGAAGAAGAGACAGATAGAAAGCCATCAAAATGCCTTCTAGTCAGAGAAGTTCACACATTTCTCTTAATACTCTGTCAGATTAAATAAACTCTTCCATTTCTTATAGTGAATTAATTAAAAGAACAAAAACTTTTACCCACAGTTGATGCCAAAGCCAGTCTTTTCTTTGGGTGTAGATGTTTACAGACATCTGGGCATTAGTTCTTACAAAGATAAGTTTTACAGAAGAAATGAACCCAAAAGTGACTACTTGAATTGGAGACAAGTTAAGTACTTTGCTATTATAATGAATAGTGGACAAAAGCACAGATGTGCATTTTTACAAATGACAGATATATGGACTCTGGAAACTATAGAAGACGTGCTCTAATGAAAAGACTAAAAACTAAGTTTATACATTTATACATTGCCGTGGGCCAATTCTTAGAAAGAAAAGCTGGAATATAAATGATAAGAATAATCAAAGAAAAATCAGGCAAGTGTATTCAAAATGTATTTTTCGAAATGCTGTTTCTGAAAGGCTTTGGAAGCGACACTGAAGAGATGTGAGTGGTTTCCTTTCATCCTGCGCTGTCCTCCTCGAGGAGCCTCGGCCTTTTCCTTATGATCAGCTCCCAGTTGTTAGCTCAGCGCAGCTCTGAGGACACGCGGTGTGATGGAGACAAACCTAGTTTCAGGGAATGCTGTTGCAGTTCCGTGGCTCCTACCGCACGGGCATCACAGGCTGTAGATGCGGACAGTGGATGACTTGGGGTCCAGGTGGTCAGGATTGTGGCGGTCACTCACCTGCTGATTGTGTTTGGCCTCAGGTGGTAAAGAATCTGCCTACAATGCAGGAGACCCAGGTTCCATCCCTGGATCAGGAAGATACTCTGGAGAAGGGAATGGCAACCCACTCCAGTGTTCTTGCCTGGGAAATGCTATGGACAGAGGAGCCTAGCGGGCTGCAGTCCATGGGGTCACAAAAGAGCCATACATGACTTTCTCTTAGAGAGGCCGCTGGAGCCCCTCCACCTCAGTTTCCTCCCTTCCCCCAAGCCCCCTCTCAACTCTGCGGCTTCTGACTAGCTGGCTACAGCCTCTCCATCACGGTAGAGAATTCACTAGAAGCTCATAGAACTCAGGGAAGCTCCGGCCCTACAATCACAGTGTTATTCTCTTGCAAAGACTGCAAGTAGGAAACACCAGCCAAACACAAGATGCTGAAGACTCCTTCCTCAGAGGTCAGGCTCACCCAAAGTTTCAACCCTCTAAATGACATACTTCTTTGTCTTTTGAATCTGCCTCCTTGGACTAACTTCTAGAACATTGTAGACTGAGTCCATCTTCTGTGCTCATGACAATCCTCTAGCCACCTGAAGGCATTTTCAGGCTCCGTCTTGCTCCACTGGTTATTTTCAGGTTAGTCAAGTCCAACGTTCTCCCGTGTCACTAAAATAAAATATTTTCCAAGCTGCCTGTCAGCTAGCTGCATTTCTCTAGGTGTTTTCTCCTCTAGAATGTGCTTATTCATCCATGGAGCCCTGAGTGTTGCACGGCATTGCCAGTGGCTGGTGGGACCCTTGCCAGAGTTTGGCTGGATCTGCATGTTTTGAGCACAATCCTCAGTCCCTTAGCTGCTGGGCCGCCTCTCAACAGGGCTGGTGGGTGCGGGGCTGCTTGTCAGGTGACTCAGCACCTGAAGGAGCCAGAGCTGGAGGATACCTAAGGAGGGGGAGGAGCCTTGTTCAGGGAAAGGAAGACAGAAGAGGGGGTGTCAGTGGTCCCAGTAGGCAAGAGCACCAAAGCTGGCTCACGGCAGATGTGTACATCAAGTCTAGGGGGTGGGAAGCCCACTGCGGGTGTTTGGTACGCAGGCTGAGAGTCTGTGGGAGAGCACCCAGACAGTATTAATTTAGAGCCCAGAAATGGTTCTGGAAACTGTGCAGGGAGCTTGCTGGACTAGTAGCTCCCACTGCTCTCTCTGCTGTGAAGGCTGGTGCTTTGGTGTGTGGCTGAGCCGAGGGCGGGAGGAGCAAAGCCTGGAGTGGGAAGGAGGCATGGGAGTGGACAGGGGTCAGAGTGCCTGGTGGCGGGACTGGTGGGACCCTGGCTTCTGCCGTCTCTTCTGGCACCAAGCTCTTTATTTATGTTTACTTCTGCCCTATGTGTTTCTGTAAATATCTGACATGCCGTCGTAAGAGAGTGCAAAATACAGGTGACTGGCTAGAGCCACCAGAGGAGGAGGCGTGTAGGGGAGACGGGTGAGGTGGGGCGAGGATGCAGTGGTGAGCTCCACGCGCCGCTGCCCCTCAGCTCTGCACCTCTGAGATGACCAGTCAGAACAGGAAAAGGGGTTGGTCTTTATTGTTGACATGAGATGAGACGCCTGATGCCCTGGAGTTCTTTTGGATACAACACTGATGGAATTTGCTGGGGTGGGGAGCACACATGGATGTCTCAAAAGCCTTCACGATGAAATCCTGTTTTTTAAAAAATTATTTTATTTTATTTTTAATTGGAGGATAATTACTTTACAATATTATGATGGTTTCTGCCATACATCTCCATGAATCAGCCCTAGGTATTCAACATGAACCTATTGATACTTTTGAACTGTGGTGTTGGAGAAGACTCTTGAGAGTCCCTTGAACAGCAAGGAGATCCAACCAGTCCATCCCAAAGGAAATCAGTCCTGAGTGTTCATTGGAAGGACTGATGCTTAAGCTGAAACTCCAATACTTTGGCCATCCGATGCAAAGAACTGACTTGCTGGAAAAGACCCTGATGCTGGGAGGGATTGAAGGTGGGAGAAGAAGGGGGGACGACGGAGGACGAGATGGTTGGATGGCATCACTGACTCGATGGACATGAGTTTGAGCAAGCTCCGGGAGGTGGTGATGGACAGGGAGGCCTGGCGTGCTGCAATTCATGGGGTCGCAAAGAGTCAGACATGACTGAGTGACTGAACTGAACTGAACTGATGGAATCTAGAAAGATGGTACAGATGACAAAGTCCTTTTAATTGATAAGTTGATGGCAAGGTCTCCATATTAGCTGCTATGGTTACAGTAATTAAAAGCCTCAAAAAGCTAATAAAGCAAAAAGAAAACAATCCCCAAAGCAAAGCTGGACCAGTGGAGTGTTTCAGTTTTCTGTCTAGACGTGGCTTGATTTAGAGGAGAGCTTCTGAGTACTTCACTGGTTTCCATGAAGGAATCGCCCTGGTGCATTGTTGCCTGGTCTCCCTGAGCCCGGCTCCCCACGGTGAATCGTGGGTAGCACATTGCCTGGGCTGCAGTGACGGGCAGGCCGCCGCTGTGACGTGTTAGTGCTGAGGCTCCAGTGTGGTGCAGGTGTGTTCAGTGCGTGTGGGTGGTTTCTGGGCGCAGCAGCTGCAGAAATTCCAGGGCGCCCTGGTTGAGCTGCTGGCTGGGCCTCGCCATCCTCGAGGCGGAGGGGCTGGCCCTGGCCAGGTGGGCAGGCAGCACCAGTCACGGTGCCTCAGGTCGCGGCAGGTGGGCTGTGTCTGGACGGCAGGCAGGGCTCTCTCACTCCTTTCCAATTTCTCTTTTGTAGGAATCACAGTCTACAGCCACCCGTATGGAGGGGCCTTACTGAATGAGGACAAGATGTGAGTTGAAGGAGCAGAGGGCGGGCTGGCTAAGGAAGAGCATCTTGGGGTTGGCAGGGGTGCGTCTCGTCCCTCTTCTCATCCGTGAGTGGTGCTGGCAGACACGCTGAGTGGAACAAGACTTGGGCATTGCTGTGCAAAGCGTGTGGGCAGGGATGACGAAGGAGGAAGTGCATCAGCTGAGTCTAAAATGGATGTGCCTGTTGTAGAGCTTAGTTCCAGGCAGAAGTTGTTCTAAGGGGATGATTCACCAAAGCCCATGGGACCAAACATCTTTTTCAAGTGAAGATTTTAAGCATAGTTATTTACTGAGGTCACCAGGCGACGCCTCCTGACAGCTCCTGTGAGTCTGTCCTCGCTGTCCACATGGAGATGGTGGAGTGAGGCCCTTTATGTATGGACCTAGGAGTCTCCTCCTCCCCATCTCCCTTCTCTGCCATCCAGTGAACAAACTTTTAGTTAAAAATTGATGATAAGAAAATGTACTGTTTATGTACTTCCTGTGACCTACCAGCCGGGGTGGGAGGACACCGATCTGCCTGATGGGCGACCTCCCCTCACGTCCTGAACACGGCAGGTGGTCCTCACGTTTACACATGGACTCTTGGGGCCTTTTCTTTACCTGACGCCTGCCCAGGATTCTAGGTGTGGGCCTGTCAACTTAGGTCGTACAGTAAGATGTGATGGACGGTTTGAGCTGAGCCATTTCATCCGTGTATCACTGGAGGCAGCTGGGCTCTGACCATCTCCAAGGATGAGGGGGTGATGGACCAGAGGTGTGAGCGATGCTCCAGTTAAAAGTGGCTCAGAAAGCACAGTGAGTGTCGTCGCCGAGCACCACCATCTATGCAGAGCTTTGGTGCTTTGAGAGATTAGATCCTGAGGTGGGGCTGATCGCCTCCCTGCCCCACGGGGGCTGCTGTCCAGCGAGGTGGCCCCAAGTGGGCAGAGGGCACGGCTCGGCGTGCAGGCCAGGTGGCAGGGGCCATCGTTTCACCTGAGAGCAGACTCAGCATCGAGTCAAGGCCCTGGGTGGGCAGACGGGCAGCTGTGGGTGAGCTTCACGCTCCTCTGTGGCCTCTGGATGCTGGGAGCTGTAACCCCGGCCGTGAAAGGGCATCAAGGGGCTTTAGTAAGAGAATCCACACCCTTAGCCAATATGCTGGCTGGTCCTGTTTTTCTTTTATTTTTCCTTTGAGAAGATATATATATATATATATATTCACAGTGTTGGCAGAACTCACTGGCTATTTGAAAAGTAAATGAACAAATCTGCATTTTAACCTCACTTTCTTACAGTAAAATAAAATCCATATGAAACAAACACTTAAAAGTAAAACTTTAAGATAATGAAAGAAGATGTCCGAATATTTTTTGTAATTTTCATGAACTAAAAGTTTTCTAAGCCCAATGCAAAGCCTATAAAGTTAAAGAATATATAGATTATATAATATATATTCAAAATGAAAAGTAAGTCTGTCAAAAAATAAACTTTAAAAAGTGAAGAGAGAAACAAAATTTTTGCAACACATCTGACAACAGCTAGTTTTCTTGAGATTGTGAGACCTTATAAGTCAGTAGAGAAAGGATGCAAGATCTTTTTTTCCCACTTTTTAAAGAAAGTAAGTGGAAGATTCTTTAAATTCTGTCATGCTTTGCAGTTTCCAGAAGTTTCACACATATGATTTCATATCATCTGCTAATAATTTTTCCCCACCCCTGTCTTCCCTTCAGGCTGCCCTGGTAGCTCAGGTGATAAAGAATCTGCCTGCAGTGCAGGAGATGTGGGTTCTGTCCCTGGGTTGGGAAGATCCCCTGGAGAAGGGCGTGGCAACCACTCCAGTGCTCTTGCCTGGAGAATCCCACAGACAGAGGAGCCTGGCAGGCTACCGCCCGTGGGGTTGCAAAAAGTCAGTCCCGCCCATCCCTGTAACCATTCAACGGATAACTGACAGTTCACTGGCTGTAGCAGCAGGAGAAGCTCCGGGTCCCGTCAGCCTCTGATGCCCGTTCTGCTCCCGCCCGCAGCCTGGAGAGCATCCGCCAGTGCGGTGTCGCCCTGTGCATCGTGCTTGGCTTCTCCATCCTCTCCGCGTCCATCGGCAGCTCCGTGGTGCGGGACAGGGTGACCGGAGCCAAGAGGCTGCAGCACATGAGCGGCCTGGGCTACCGGACCTACTGGCTCACGAACTTCCTGTTTGACATGGTAGGACTCTGGCGCTGTCCCTTTGTGTCCCTGCACCCCGGGAGGTGTGTGTGCATGTGTGTGTGCATCTGTGTGCGTGCATGTGTGTGTGTGTGGCTGCCCCTTGCTGGCCATTTCCTGGGAGCACATTTCACGTTAAGCCTACTCCCTGCACTTTCCAGCAGTGTTCTTCTGAGGAGGCGAAGGTGGACATAAGCTGGGATTTGGGCAGCTATGGGGACAAAAGATGTAATTCCCACCCAGGCGAAATGCACAGAGCTGTGTAAGAGATGAACTAGCGGGAATGCAGTTAAAACCTAGCATAGCAATCAGCACAAGAAATGGCAATGTAAGGTGTTGTGAGAACCCCAAAGAGAAGGAGATTCACCCCAATCGAGGTAGCCAGGGATGCCTTCCTGCAGGACGCAGTGTGTGCACAGAGAATGAAAGAAGCAAGAGGAAGAAGAGAAAACAATTCAAAACAGGCTGACTCAGAAGAGCAGGACAGACTAAAGGACGTTGAAAGCTGATTTTTAGGAGAAATGACCATTAATTAGAATACCAGCAGGGCAGGTGAGCACAGTAAAGTCCTACACGGGGCGTGTGTTTCCTAATGTGGCCGTGAGTTCTGAGAGGCTCATATTCTAATGTGGGTGAGGAGTGGGTGAGCTCATCCATCCCTGCTGTTTAAACAGCGGCCTCCTTGGATGCCCGCTTGGGGCCAGGCCGCGTCCTGAAGGCTGACCCTGTAGGACCATGACACAGAAGCGCAGAACCAGGGATGACTGCTTCAGAGGGCGCAGAGCGGGCGGGGCAGTGCCAGTTGCCCAGTCCTGGTTCAGGGACCTCCCTGGCTGCCCATCGCCATGCCTGCTATTTAATGATGCAGAGTGACCCCTACTTCCGAGGAGAAGGGGCAGGACATGCCCGGAGAGCATAAAAGCAGGCAGGAGAGACCCAGAGCCTCCCCCTTCCTGAAGTCATGAGTCGATTGTCCTCCTCTCCCTCCCACTAACCGGGGCTTCTCTTTACTCTGGGGGCATAAGTCAGGGAGCACTGCTTTCTTCTCGGTATCCCACCTCCATCCAGTCATTCCCCACCTAGTCGGTCACTGATTTAATAGAGGCTCTTGAGGTTTTGCTCTGCGCCAAGGTGTGGCTCAGATGGTAAAGCGTCTGCCTGCAATGCAGGAGACCTGGGTTCGATCCCTAGTTGGGAAGATCCCCTGGAGAAGGCAATGGCAACCCACTCCAGAACTCTTGCCTGGAAAATTCCATTGACAGAGGAGCCTGGTAGGCTACAGTCCAAGGGGTTGCAAAGAGTCGGACACGACTGAGCCGCTTCACTTTCTTTACTTTCACTTTTTTTAAGGTGTGTCTGAGGTGTTGTGGACAAACCATGAATGGGGCAGAGAGGGTCTGTGCCTGTAAGGACCTTGTGCTCTTATGGGTGGAAGCAGAAAGCAAGTAGATCAATACAAATAAATACACAAGATGCAATCATCTTGAGACTCAGTTTACCAGAGGCGTGAGAGGGCCATTGGACGGAGGGTGACTTGAGATTGGCGCTGGGGTCTGACACTTTGGGAGGGGCACTGCGGCCGGGGGTTGGCCCGCGGGTTGTCAGCGCTCGGGGGCCGCTCCCTGCAGGAGGGGTTTCTATTCTTAATTCTTAGTGTGGGAAAAAGCTGTGTGTCCTGTGGGGCTGGGTTCCTGCCCTTTCCCGTGGGAGGTGGGTGTGGGCGGTGTAGACGTTAGATATTTATCTCGTGGCCCTTCTGGAGGCTGGAATCCCAGGGCTGGTGACACTCCCGAGGCCTCCCTCCAGGACTGGGGGACAGCCGTCTCCTCCCCACGTCCTCACTCCGGGTGCCTGTGTCCTTAGTTCGTCTCTCTGTAAGTCAAGAGTCCATCCTCACGACCTCATTTGACATGAGTCTTGAAGGGGACATGTTTCAGTCCCAAACTGTGACTCTCCAGGCCTGAGTCCACCACTGCAACCGTGTGCTGGGCCAGACAGGACACAGGCTAAGTGGGAGCCGAGCGAGAGCTTGTGGTCAGGCGTGCATGCTGGGTTGCTCAGTCATGCCTGACTCTTTGCAAGCGACCCCGTGGACTGTAGCCCTCTAGGCCCCTCTGTCCATGAGGATCCTCCAGGCAAGAATACTGGAGTGGGTTGCCATGCCCTCCTCCAGGAGATTTTCCCAACCCAGAGGTCTAACCCAGGTCTCCTGCATTGCAGGCAGATTCTTTCCTGTCTAAGCCACCAGGGAAGCCCAAGAATACTGAAGTGGGTTGTAATGCCCTCCTCCAGGGGGTCTTCCCGACCCGGGGATCAAACCCGCCTCTCTTATGTCTCCTGTATTGGCAGGCAGGGGTCAGGGATGGTGATAAACAAACCCGTGTGCTAACAGGTCCTCTTCTCTTTATTTCTCAGCTCTTTTACTTGGTCTCCGTCTGCCTGTGTGTCTCTGTGATTGTGGCCTTCCAGCTCACCGCCTTCACTTTCCGGGAGAACCTGGCGGCCACAGCCCTGCTGCTGGTACTTTTCGGGTATGTGATGAGACGCGTGGCTGCAGAATTACAGCTTGTTTTCTGAAGGAGAACCCCCCCAGGGCAGCTTTGAATCTGCTGCCAGCTTCATGGTTTTCTCTCCTTCCAACCAATTACGCTACTGCTTCCAGGGGCACGGAGCTGAGCAGCCTGAGCAGGACGCCTGGTGCCTGCTCACGGTGGGGGGTAGGCAGTGATGGGGACGGCTCGGCCCCGTCTGTCTGAGAGCCCATTATTCTGTCTCTGATGTTCCTCTGGGGCTCAGACACACCACCCACTCAGCTCCGGAACTGTGCTCCTCGTGAAGCTCTACAACTGCCGTATTTCTCCCTCTGCTGGTCTCAGTAGTTTGGAAATGTTTTGTCTAACTTCTATCACTTTATTTTTTTTCTCACAGGGTCAAAGTAGCAAAAGCAGAAAAGTCATTTTACAAATTTCTCCTTTGTACACACTGATCAGGATCCTTGCTAGCAGTCCCCAGAGTGTGCCTGCCAGGTAGCAAGAATGCATAAGATCATCGCTTGACTCTCGGTCTAGGCTAGGCATGTGAGAGATGCTTGATGATAGTAGGGAAAAAATTAACTTATGACTCGCTGGTAAAGAACCCACCTGCCAATGCAGGAGACATGGGTCCAACCCCTGGATTGGGAAGATTCCCTGGAATAGGAAATGGCATCCTACTTCAGTATTCTTCCCTGGAAAATTCCATGGACAGAGGAGCCTGCAGTCCATGGAGTTGTAAGGAGTCAGACACGACTGATCACACACATACACACGGAGCCCCAGAACCGTCTCAGAAAGGTTGATCCCAGAATAAGCTGAGACCCAAGAACACAGTCGGGCATTAAAAGGGGCTGTTTGTTTGGAATCTGGAAAAACTAGGGATTGTGTAAGTGATCAGAGTCTCATAAGGTATAATAGGAAAACATGCCCAGTTATGATTTTCCTTTTTCTTTTCTTTCTCTCTATGGAGGAAAAATCGATATTTAAGCTGGAAAGGGAGAATAAGCATCAAAAAGGAAAAAAAAAAAAGCAAAAACCTAAAAACCTCAGACAGAAAAGAGAATCTAACTTACATAAAAACATGAAACCTTAGCCACTCTTCAGTGCACATTTAACACTAAAGGATGATAAAGATGAGATTCCAGAATCCTGTTCCATGTCTTAGAAAATTCCTGCAGTGTGGGTGGAGGGGCCAGTTTCAAAGCGTGGTAAACCCCATGAATGGCAGAATAATGGTTAGCGGGCCTCCAACCTTCAGTGTTAAAATATTAAAATGACATTATCATTTCATAAAAAATAGAGGTTGTTAGAAGCTACCATAGGTTTCATTAAAAATAAATTATGCCCTTCGTGTGTGTGCTCAGTCGTGTCTCTTTGCGACCCCATGGACTGTAGCCCGCCAGGCTCCTCTGTCCTTGGAATTCTCCAGGGATGGATGCTGGACTGGGTTGCCATGCCCTCCTCCAGGGGATCTTCCCAACCCAGGGACTGAACCCACTCTCCTGCACCTCCTGCAGTGGCAGGCAGATTCTTCACTACTGAGCCCCTGGGGAAGCCTGCTGAGTGGCACGAAGGATCTTACTTCCCTGAGCTGGGATGGAAGCCGTGCACCCTGCGTGGAATCGTGGAGTTCTCAGTGCTGGACGGACAGGAAGTCGCTGAATCAGCAGTGCTGGGTTGTCGGGGAGGGAGTGCTGGCTCATTCTGGAAAGGAATCTCACAGCAGCTGCAGCTGCCTTCCACGGCTGGCTCACAGACCGCCGCTGCTGCGCCTCGGTTAAAATCTGCTCTGACCGCTGCTGCCCCAGGTGCTCATCCAGACAGCCGCGCAGCGGCGCGCTAGGACTGTTTACGTCCCAGGGAACAGAGAAGGGCGGAGTGGCCGGTGCGGCAGGAGCTGGCTGCTCTCTGTAGTTCAGATAGAGGTCACGGCGTCATGACCTCTTTGGTAATTAAGTTAGTTTATTTTAATAGTTGATTTATTATTATTTATTATTAATCAGCTCTACTCCAATATAAAATAAAAAGTTAAAAAATATTAATAAAATTTTTTTTAAGTCAGTGACTTCTCTGCTGGCATACACATTGACGTACCAGCTTCCTTTGCTTGGTGGGGTAAGTGGGGCAGGGAGGTCGCAGGAGGAAGCTGAGGGGGTCAACCATGAATAAACCCTGGCTCTGTGCTCTGGAGAAAGAAAGACGAAGAGGTGTTTTCCTCTGAGGAGCATTGTGGGTGTTTTCTTACAGTATGAGGCCATCTGAAACCTGTAGGGGCTTCTTCTAGGATTCGCTGTTCACCGCCCAGCTTCAGGGTCACGCAGAAATGACTCCCACTTCCAGCGCCTCCTCCTTTCCAGCTGTGGGTCCTCAGTCAGGTATCTGAGGCTTGTCAGTGCCATGATGAAATGGGGCCATGGTCCCGCCTATAAGGCTGTAGCCGTGGGGCGGTCAGAGCACACGCTGGAGGCGTAAGGTATGGAGCCCACGAGGGCACCCCGGAGATTTCCATTTTCATCTGCGCTTCTCTTTTTGTATAGTTTTCCACTTATGATAGGTTTGATTCTCACTCGAACAAACAGGTGTCATGCCTCTTTGCTGAGAAGCTGTGAGCGAGGAGCAAGGCCAAGCTTGCCCCGTGGGGTGGGAGGTGTGGGCCTTTCTTTGGCTCATGGAGCTGCATGCCCAGGCCCGGGTTTGACCTGACCCAGGCTCTGCCCACTGTATTATGGCAAATGTGTTTTGTCTTTAGAAAATACTGCCAGCTTTACTAACTCAAGTGTGCTTCTGTTCATTGAGGGAGGAAGACTAGCCCGCCAACAGCATCTTGTCTGTGACTCGGCCTCTAGAGAAAGGGGAATTGCAGGACGAGGAGCGCAACTTTTTGCTTTACTTTTCAGGTATGCCACTCTCCCCTGGATGTATCTCGTCTCGAGGGTCTTCTCCAGCTCGGATGTTGCTTTCATCTCCTACATCTCCTTGAACTTCATCTTTGGCCTCTGTACCATGCTGATGACGGTCATGCCGAGGCTGCTGGCCATCGTCTCCAAGGCTCAGGTCTGTGACCCTCTGCACGGCCTCCCGGGGCAAGGGGAGGGACAGAGGGTTGACTCACACTGAGCCCATTCCTTTTCCAACCTGGCTTCACTGCAGATGTGCTGCTGTCCACAGTCTTTACCTCCAGAGAGAGAGACAGGGACTCTACTTAGCAGAAACATCTGTGTCTTGATACGCAGCAGACCCAGGCTGGCAGCCACGGGCAGAAGATGAGCTGTTTGTGCTCCCGCTTCACGGGTGAAGGGCAGATGGGGCAGTGCGTTCACGGCCGTGTCCCTGTTTGCAGATGGTTGGAAGGGTGGCTGTTTGTGTGAAGTGTGTCCTGTCTGGGCCTTGCGGGAAGAGGGCTCAGACGTTCCTGTCTCTGGGCTCAAATGCTCCGGCCTGGGATGTGCCACAGCACAGACCACACTCTCAGGCCACAGGGGGTTTGAATTTTCCGGGTGATTTTGCCCTCTCCTTTCGGAGCCCTGGGAAAGATTTAGATTTGCTGCTCTCAGAGTTTTGGAGCAGAAGGCTTCCCCAAGACTGGACTCCTGGCCCAGGAACATTTATCCTGGTGAGGAGGTGCCTCTCTCAGGGAACCCCTTCTATCAGGCTGTCTGTATCTGGAGGGCCACTCTGGGGCTGTCATTCCAGCAGGCATCGGGGTCCAACGGAACCCAGTAGTGCTAACCGCCCCCCACACCCCAGCACCCGCCAACTCTTGTCGGGCCAGGATCCTCCTTGCGAGGCCTGCTGGGGTCTTGTCCACAGTAACTCATCTTCTGTCTTTCTCAGCCTCCCCTGGGCTGCCTGTGGGGATGGACTTCAGAGTCTGCAGCCTCCTCTGCCCTGTCTTTCTACACTTTCCCTTCTTGGCTCTGGCCACACCATTCTCTCCTGATGCCCCACTGTCTGTGTGGGCCCCGTTCTCACTAGTCCTGGTGTTGGATCCACTCAGAGGCTGAGAAAACAGCCCCAGAGAGGCCCAGTCCAGAGGATGGGCCACTGGTCAGTGTCCGGCAAATTGGAGGCTAAGCTCCCTTCCTGTGCCCGGACTCACTGGGACATGATTGATTCTCCAGCATCAGCCTGTGTTCTTTTCCTCAAGTTTGTACAGAAGCAGCGAGCTCTGTAAACATGCATTTTGGATCCAATGAAAGAAACAGTCTATTCTGGTGATTTTTTTTAGATCTGTTATTGACACTCATCTGTATTAGTGTGTCTAGACTTTGAATAGCAAACTAGCAGAACGATTCATTGGCTTTCACTCGAGAGAGTGTTGAAGTTAGTGGAGGCAGAACAGAGCTTCCTTGTCCCCATCAGAACTCTGATATACCATGGATCTCAGTCATGAACTAAAGGTAAGAGAGGCAGATTTGTGGTAGACAGTCCCTGCCCTGGGGACGGGTCACAGACAGAAGAGGAGGAGGAGGGGCCTTCTGGACCCGCAGAGCAAACCCACCCAGAGTCTTGAGATCCTGAGACTGAGGTCAGTGGGATGCTTTGTTGCCTCCTGTTGTAAACAGCTCTGTTCACTTGGAGAGAAATCTGCAGGCAGTAAGTTGCTTGCAAAAAAATGAGTCAAACTCAATTGTTAAGAGATTAAAAAAAGGCATTTTGTTGCTGTTGCTGAGGTCTTTCTTTTCCTTTGCTCTTTATTTTGATATGTTCTGCTTAAAAAGATCAACATCATAAATGGGTGATTTTCAGATATTCCTTTGTAAGCTCAAGAGGTAACATATTCCTATGAAATCATGACATAAGACGAGAAAGGGGACTAGATTTTCAGACCAGTGTCAAAGACCAGTATAGCTGGTATTAACCACTATGTAGACAAACAGTACTGTTAACGTGAGCATTTTACTTTTGACCAAGTCGCAGTTTATAAGCAGATATGCACAGCAAAGGCATTTGGAGCTCTAATTCGGGCTGTGGAGCATCAGTCTCTCCCACTGTGGAGGCTCTCTTTTGAGGGGTGGGGGATGCAGGTAGGTGAAAAAAATCATAGCTTTTTTTTTAATGTTTACTTACTTGGCTGCATTGGGTCTTAGTTGTGGCATGTGAGATCTTGGTTTGTCCTGTGGATCTTCACTGTGGTGCATGGGCTCTCTAGTTGTGGTGTGCCTACTCAGTGGTTTTGGCTTTTGGAAAAAACTCATAATTTCAGTAATTTATTTCTTTACTTGATCAATCTCTACATATTGTGAATCAGACACTTATAAATTGCTATTCTGTGAATTTGTGTGGCTACACTCAACATGCGTGGGTTATTTACCAACTTGGTGTTATGAGTTGCAAATAGCTTTGTTCACGTGGGAATAGATACCAGTGTGTGAATTTCTTACAGTCAGGTCTGAGTCATCACCATTAATTAATTATTCTCTGAACTGTCAGATCCTGAGTTAAAAGCTGTAATAGTCTCCTGTTTCTATCTTATTAAAATGGAACCCTTTGAAGTCATATATTATTTGATCCAGGGAAATAGTTTTATGAAAAGTGGGATAATAAGCCCCTTTAGGACTGGTGGAAATCTGTAAATAGTGGTAGTTGGTCAAGACAGGAACCAAAGGATCATTAAATGAGCCTTTCATGTTTTTCTCATGTCTGCATGCAAAAGACAATAAACTGTGTTGTAGCAATACATGCCCCCAGAAGTCTTTTTTTTTGCTTTATTACTTTTAGTTTTTAGCTTCTTTTTTATTGAAGTACAGTTGAACCGTAGTGCTGTGTTAATTACTACTGTGCAGAAGCACAGTGACTCAGTCATATGCGTATGTACGTTCTTCTTCATTTCCTTTTCCATTGTGGTTGATCACAGGATACTGAATGTGCTCCCTGTACCATAGCGTAGGACCTGGCTGTTTATTCATTCTTTATATAGTAGTAGTTTGCAGCTGCTAATCCCAAGCTCTCTCTCCAGCCCTCCCCCCCACCCCCTGCCTCTTGGCGACTACAGATCTGTCCTCTGTGTCTGTGAGCCTGTTTCTGTTTCATGGATAAGCTGGTTTGTGTCGTGGTTTAGATTCCACACATGAGTAACGCCACATGTCATTTGTCTTTTGCTGACCTGCTTCACTTAGTGTGATAACCTCTGGTTGCATCCGCGTTGCTACAGATGGCATGATGTCACTCCTTTTTATGACTGAGTGGTGGTCCATTTTGTATATGCACCGCACCGTCCTTATCTGCTCATCTGTTGATGGACGTTGACGGTGTTTTCATGTCTTGGCTGTTGTAAATAGTGCTGCTGTGAACACAGGGGTGCATGTATCTCTTCAAACTAGATTTTTACTGGACACGTGCCCAGGAGTGGGGTTGCTGGGTCACATGGTGGCTCTGTCTTTAGCTTTTTCGGGAGTCTTCACACTCTTCTCCGTAGTGGCCGCACCAGTTTGCATTCCCACCGAGCAGTGGAGAGGGCTCTGTTTCCTCCACACCCTCTCCGGCGTTTGTCGGCTTCTTGATGATGGTCATTCTGGCTGGTGTGAGGTGGTGTCCCAGTGTGGTCTTGGTTGGCATTTCTCTAATAGTTAGAAACGTGAGCATATTTTTATGCCTATTGACTATCTGCATGTCTTCTTTGGAGAAATGTCTCTTTAGGTCTTCTGCCCATTTTTCGATTGGGTTGTTTGATTTTTAGTGTTGGTCTAAAAGCCTGTTTTTGGGTTTTCTATTGTCCTTGAACCACACTAGTAGAGACAACTCATTGTGAACAGCCGTGAGTTTACACTAAGGGAACACTGGATGGTATTGGTTGTGAGATAGATAATGGATGGTTTTGTATGTCTTCTTTATGAAGAGCTCTCACTTTGATTTCTCTTTCTTTCACTGCACAGAACTTACAGAACATCTATGACGTCCTCAAGTGGGTCTTCACTATTTTCCCTCAGTTCTGCCTGGGTCAGGGGCTGATAGAACTCTGTTACAATCAGATCAGGTACGACCTGACCCATAACTTGGGCATCGATTCCTATGTGAGCCCATTTGAGATGAACTTCCTGGGCTGGATCTTCGTGCAGTTGGCTGTACAAGGCTCGGTCTTTCTCCTCCTGAGGGTGCTGCTGCACAGAGACCTCTGGCTTCTACCCAGGTACGTCCTACAAGGCTCATCCTTGATGCAACTAGTGTCCGAATAAAGACGGAGCAGCAAATCCATCCTGGAGGTTGTGGGACAAGAAGCGTTCTGAGCAGTGTCATACCCACGTCTCATAGTTAGGAATTTGACAGTTTTTGTTTGCTTTGTTTTTTGTTTGTTTTTTTTTTCTTTTCATTGGTGAGTTACTGACATTAGGAAGGGGAATGTCAAAAGAAAAGGTGTCAACCTGTGAGATAATCGACCCAATTCTTTAGTCACCGTAATGAATTTTCCTTTTTAAAATTGCTCAGTTTCCTCTTACTCTGATTGTAGCACCTAGGGTGAATTCAGTTGATCCCATAACATACTCTGGACTTGCCTGGTGGCTCAGATGGTAGAGAATCTGCCCGCAATGCAGGAAACCCTGATTTGATCCCAGGGTTAGGAAGATCCTCTGGAGAAAGAAATGGCAACCTGCTCCAGTATTCTTGCCTGGGAAATCCCATGGACAGAGAAGCCTGGTGGGCTACTGTCCATGGGGTCTCAAAGAGTTGGACATGACTTAGCGACTACCACTTTCACTTTCATAACATAATATTATTTTGTGGCATTTAGCATCAACTCCTAAAAGCAGGTGTGTATAGAAAATCAGTGTGATAACCACTTGCCCTTTGCCAGATCCTCTTGTTATTAGCACTGAAAACATTTTATTTAATTAGTATTATTCACTAGTGATGCTGATAATTTCCTCCCCTTTGTTAGTTGAGAATGAAAGTCAGTAGCCCAAGGGGTATATGTGTATATGATGTGTGCTGTTCACGTGAGTTTGTGTGTGCCCATGTCCACACAAATATATTCTTATACCCACGTCTCTATATTCTCAATAGGATCACAAGTGGTTTTGCAAGGACATGTGAAATATTGACAGATAGCAGATTTTAAATATCAAACAAATAATGTACTTTCTTATGTAGGGCCCACAATGGCGTGTCTCTCCCTCTGTAATCCTTGTGGCCTGAATCTGTGGACTTGCTCTAAGAAAGTGATCCTTTATGGAGAAAGTACTAATTAGGACCATATAACAGGAGAAACTGTTAAATATTATAGACCTAGTATTAACACTCCATGATGATTTCCTTATAGAATTTCCCCTCTCTCAGTCATTTCATCGACATACTTCCTTTAGAATCTGCTAAAATGGAGAACCATTTGAATACCCATCACAAACCTCTCTTGAATTGGCCACAGTCCCTCTGGAATCTGTAGATATCCAATACTGGCAGAGTTTGAAATAGAATTCTGAGTGCCTTTCAAATGTAATTGGTCCTGTATTTAAAACCTATTTTGTAGAACCCCTTTCAGCAGATTTCAGGGTATTCAGTCCTCCTGCAGCATCAAAAGATTTTTCTGTAAAGACTTTGGGTGTTACCTTTATGTGGAACCCCATGGACTGCAGCACGCCAGGCTTCCCTGTCCATCACCAACTCCCAGAGCTTGCTCAAACTCATGTCCATCAAGTCATTTGATGCCATCCAACCATCTCATCCTCTGTCGTCCCCTTCTCACACTGCTTTCAGTCTTTCTCAGCATCAGGGAATTTTCAAATGAGTCAGTTCTTCGCATCAGGTGGCCAAAGTATTGGAGTTTCAGCTTCAGCATCAGCCCTTCCAATGAATATTTAGGATGGATTTCCTTTAGGATTGACCGGTTGGATCTCCTTGCAGTCCAAGGGACTCTCAAGAGTCTGCTCCAACACCACAGTTCAAAAGCATCAATTCTTTGGCGCTCCGCTTTCTTTACAGTCGAACTCTCACATCCATACATGACTACTGGAAAAGCCATAGCTTTGACTAGACGGACTTTGTTGGCAAAGTAATGTCTCTGCTTTTTAATATGCTGTCTAGGTTGGCCATAGCTTTTCTTCTAAGGAGCAAGTATCTTTTAATTTCATGGCTGTGGTCACCATCTGCAGTGATTTTGGAGTGGAACCAAATATTAGAATAATGTCCTTGTTATCTGCAGTAAATAGTCAATATTTGTTTTTCTTTGTCATTGTGAAGGTTATAGAAGCCAGAAATTAAATGTAATTTAGACATTAGTTACCTGTCACTCCATTATGAATGACAGTGATCTGACCAAATTAATATGTTTTTAAAATCCAGATCTAACCAGGTCACTAATCATTTCCTGGAAGCTAAGTCCAAGGTTCTCAGCCAGGCCCTTCAAGTCTGGCAGCTCATGCTCAGAGATGCTCCATGTGATGTCCCTTCTGTCTCCACCTGTGACATTGGCCCCCATCTCCAATCTGGGCTGGTCCTTTGCCAGGACTGCCTTCCTCATCTCCAGGACCCTCCCTGTAGGTCCTCCTGCTTCTCTGGCCTGGCATGATGTCCTCCCAGTGTTTCTGTTACAGCTTGCATTTACTGTCAGTGCCGTCAGTGTTGTTTTAATGTGTTTGTATGTTACTCTCCTCTACCTAACTCTATAAATTCCTTGTGCAGGAAATATTTTACACTGTTGTAGTGAATTCCTGGAAAGAATAGGAACACCCTACCCTCTGCATCTGGACAGACAGTTCCTGCGTCCCCTCCTAAGTGGACTGTCTCCTGCCTGAGCTTGGGGCCGGTTCCCCACTGCCCTTCCCCACTCGGCACCTGCTTATAGCCTGCAGTCCCTCTGTCAGCCTGTGTTGTCTGCTCAGACCCAGGACCACATCAGAACCTGAGCTCCAGCCACACACGAGTCAGGTTGGGTGGACTTCGGTCGGGGTGGGGGTGGGCAGTCCCTGTTGTCTCTCTGGTCTGAGCCAGTTTCTGCTCTCTATGTCCCAGTTGCCTGCTGGGTCTGAGAAGCCACATGGCCCCAGGCAGCGTCTCCCTTCTGATATCAGCAGCACTAAATCCCTGCAAGGACCCGCTGCACGGACGCCCGCCAGGCGCCTTCCTCTTGACACAGATGCCGTTTTCCATGATTGTCAGTTGGAAGATGGGCAGGCAGCTCGTTTCTGCATACAGGGGCATGAACTGCATGTTGTGTTGTGAGGAGGAGGCCAGTGAGCAGTGCCCTCACTCAGAGCCCCCCACCCACCAGATCCACCGGGCCCTGAGAGCAGACGCTCCGGCATGAGAACAGGCAGCAGGCGCAGAGCTGCCGGGTGATGCTGATGAGGGGATGGTCAGAACCTCTGATGTGTCTTGGAGACAGGAAGGGATAAGGTGACGTGTGTCCTGGTGGAGTGAGAGACAGCCTCGGGACGACCAGACGAGGCTGAAGGGCCACAGGATGCACCCTCACCTGGGGAAGGGCGCCTGACAGTCCAAAAGAAAGTGTCAAATTCAGTGACTCTTCGTAAATTGAACACAGCTGTGTTACCTTCTCCCAGTCAGCAGCACCTGAAGCCCCCTCAGAGCCCGCTGTCAGTCAGTCCCTCTATTTGTCATTCAGTTCCTAAGTCATGTTTTTGCAGCCCCTTGGACTGCCGCACGCTAGGCTTTCCTGTTCCGCGCTATAGACGGATTCATTTCTTATGCTTTTGAACACTATATAAAATCTATCATGTAACACAAACTCCTGCCTATGTAGCTGTATTTTCTCATCATCTGTGTTGTGTGTTGAGAAAATTATATGTTTGTCCAGTGGTGATATCAGGCATGGAAAAAATAATATAGGGAAAGAGGCTTGGGGTACTGGGGTCTAGCTGTAGATATTTTATTGTATTTTTAATACTTTTTAAATTTTAAAATAGCTTAAGACTCATAAGAAATAGCAAAATTAGTCCAGAGAAATTCTATGTCCCCTTCACCCAGCTTTTCCCAACAATACTGTGATAATATAATAACACAGTACACTACAATATTACATTGATAAAACCAGGAAATTGATGTGGGTACAACACTATCTCAGTGATCTGTACTCATTTAGTTACTAAAATATTGGTTTATTACAGGTTGCAGAAATTGAGATTTACTCGAAAGGCAAAATGCACCAGCAAAGAAAATCATAAAGATTAGGAAGTGAGCTAGCTCAGATCTAGGGGCAATAAATCAGAGGGGAGAGTTAGCTTTGTGCTTGTCTGACAGGTGCCTTTCGAGTGCTTCCTGCGCGTTCTTTCGCACAGCCCAGCACGTGCTGTGGAACGGTGGCACTTGGGAACTTTCATGTATAATCTAGTTTCGTAAAGGGCTTGTTTGCTCAAGGGCTTCCCTGGGGCCTCAGATAGTAAATAATCCACCTGTTAATGCAGGAGACCCGGGATCAGTCCCTGGGTTGAAAAGACCCCCTGGAGAAAGAACTGGCAACCTACCCCAGTATTGCTGCCTGGAGAATTCCGTGGACCGAGGAGTCTGGTGGGCCATAGTCCATGGGGTCTCAGAGTCATACACAACTGAGCTTTAACTCTTGACTTCACTTGCTCAAAGTGAGCAGACAAGTTGATTTCTTACAACTTTGTGATAAATTATTTGTCCTCTAGCACGAAAGTCTGGTGTGACTTTATTGTTCATAAAATCAGCAAGTGTTTTCAGTTTGGTGTCCATTCATGTCACCGTTTGGATGATCTCTGACCTTTCTTTCCCCCTCGATTCTTCTGGCCCATTTCCCAGGTGTGAATTAACTCTGAACTGTCCTCCCAGGGGCCACTCTGCCATTCAAGGCACAGTCACGTCTTCTAAGGACATAGATGTTGAAAAAGAGCAAGTGAGGGTGCTGAAAGGCAGAACCAACGGCGACACTCTTGTGCTGTGCAACCTCAGTAAGAGTTACAGGGGCTTCTTCAAGAGCACGAGCGCTGTGCAAGATATCAGCTTGGGCGTGCACAGGGGAGAGGTAAGAGACGTCTGTCTGTGCCGTTTCTGCTGCAGACAGGCATCAGTCTCATTGCGGGTCTGCTCATGTTACTCTCCGAATATCTGACATCACAGCCAAAAGCATCTGCACATTTTAGGGACCTCTCCTGGATCTGTATAGAGACTCGGTTGACTTTCCCTAGTGAAAACTCTGCTGATTGATTGATTGATGGGGTTTATTCTCTTTCATAATTTTAAAAATTGAAGTGATCAAGGTTGTTGTTTGGTTGCTAACCCATGGACTGTAGCCCACCAGGCTCCCGTGTCCATGGGATTCTTCAGGAAAGAATACTGCAGTGGGTAGACATTCCCTTCTTTAGGGGATCTTCCCAACCCAGGGATTGAACTCGCAGCTCCTGCTTGGCCAGCAGGTTCTTTACTGGGGAGCTACCAGGGAAGTCCAAGTGACCCAGGAGTTTTCATTATTGTTTGGGTTATAGAGTGAATCTCCACTGAGTGCAAATATTTTATAAATCTGATTAATTAAGGAAAACACTTCCAACTCCTGTTTGAACTTCAATACTCTTTAAGTGGCCAATTAAGCCATCTAGTAAAATGTTATTCTGAAAAAGTAAAAGCACTCACACACCACAGCTAGCTTAGAGTTTTTTTTCTTGAGCATGGCATTAATTCTAGTAGAAGTGTTTTTTCTGAACTGACATAAGCCATGTAAATTGTTCCTGATGCGTGCTTAATGCATAAAGGGAAGTCAGTTCTGGAAGTGATTACTTTTAATTAACTGTTAAAAATAAATGAGACTGTCTTGCATTCATGTTGTTCCAAACTTCTGAGGAATTCAAAGTAGGTTATATGGGTATCTGATTGGCATCCAAGCTCTGCTGTGAGTGGATCTGTGGTAGAGAGGAGCTGAGTGATGATGGATCTGTCTATCCGGGGACATGGCACCCTGCACCAAGGTGTGTGGTCAGACAGGACAGATGTTAAGCAACTGTTTTTTGCAAGTCTTGTGTTTGCTGCTCAACTCTAAGACTAGCATTGTGATTTTTGCCGTCTTATGGAACTATTTTTTTTACTCTCGCTTGAAAAAAGAAAAAGCTTCCATTTTGTTATTACTTCTCCATGGTGTCCATAGTTGCTCTGTGTAAAGAACCTGCCTGCCAACACAAGAGATCCAGGTTCAGTACCTGGGCTGGGAATGGTCCCCTGGAGGAGGAAGATCCTCTGGAGGAGGAAATGGCCCACTCCAGTATTCTTGCCTGGGAAATCCCATGAACAGAGGAGCCTGGTGGGCTACAGCCCATGGAGTCGCAAAAGAGACATGACTGAACGACTAACCAACAGCTCCTTCTCCGTGATAGATTTAAGGAGTAAGAAAAAAAAAAAAACTTGAAAAATATTCTAAGAGAAATGCTTCAGGTATCTGAAATAGTGCAGGATGCATTCATCTTGGGATTCTATTCACTAGGCTTTTTTTTTGAGCATCTGAGTTTAGTGACTTAGATGTAAAGAATTGTACAAAAGCCTATGGAAAACACTGAGATGGCTGTGATGTGTCCCTGTCCCTCCAGGAATGAATAATTGGGCAGGCGATGGCAGGTCATAAACAGTACCCAGTGTGATGTAACAGCAGATCAAGGTTGAACGGCACAGAGTGAAGTGAGTGGCCTCAGAGCTGTAAGTCTAGAGAGGGCGGCCCCATGGCGGGAGTGGAGCCTGAGAGCAGGGAGGCAGGAATGGGCGGAGTCAGGAGGCAGGAGTGTGAGAAAGGAGGGCTCAGATAAACTTCAGCCTCAGCCTGGAGGGTAGATTGTGCTCGAATTAGCTGATGGTGTTGTACCTGGGACAGCAGCTCAGGAGTGGTCTGGCTGTCATGAGTGACAGGGGACAGCACAGATCTGCAGCAGGATGGCCCCGTGTTTCAGAGGGTAGAAGAGACCCAGGTAAGGTGGGGAAAGCATAGGTGTTGAAGCAGGCGGCACCCAGAGCTACAGAGTAGGGCTCTGTGCTAATTAAGTGGGCTCAGCCACAGGAATCCCAGGATTCAGGGAGTCAGGAAGCCAGCAGTGCACAGACATTGGGAAGCAGGTGTCCTGGAAAGCGGTCACTAAGGTCAGAGTCCCAGCCCCCACCACAGCACCTCCAGCTAAGCACAGCCCAGGTTCAAGGCAGAGGCTGGGCTGCGAAGTACAGCAGCGCCGCGTTCCACAGAGTGCAAGGCAGAGTGAAGCAGGAAAACGCGACCTGACGCTGAGTGTGATAATATGCAAACAGAGGGTCTTCTTCACCAGTTGTCAGGGTTAGGCTGTCATCAGAGGACAGAGACAGATTCAGAGACAGGGAAGGAGGCATTGGGATATTCATGATTGTGATGCCGTGACTCCTAAAAAATACTGTGCTAACCAGAGGGACACAGGAACCTGCGATGTGGGCCCCTGTCTTATCAGACAGGATTCAGCATAATTTGTGGTAATTGCACTTACTTGTCATCCTCTTTCATTTTCCAGACAGACGTGAATATATTGTCAGTGAATTAATGCTGAAATTATACCGCTCAAATGTCACAGTGATTTCAGAAGTACTGTGTGAGCTGTAAAGTGCTTTATACACTTATTTTATGATTGTAAAAGGTTTCAAATAATACAAACCAAAAGTAGCACAGAGTTGGCTGAAAGCAAGTGCTGTTTCTAATATGATTTTGACTTTATGGTCTGTTTTTTTTCTGCCTTCAGTGCTTTGGGCTTCTCGGGGTGAACGGAGCTGGGAAAACCACCACTTTCAAAATGCTGACCGGGGACCTGCGTCCAAGCTCGGGACACGCTGTCGTCAGGACTCCCTCGGGGTAAAGTCCAGATTTCATCACTTTACTGCCTGTAGAGATGATCATCAAGTCCAGAGAACCCCAGCCTCCCCACCCATCCTGTGTTCTAAAGTCAGAGGAGGTCACTGCCTTCCAGATTTATTTCCAGTGACCACTGCTCACAAGAGGGGGAAGAAAGCCTCCAAAAGGGAATGAAACGGACTTGATGTTTCCGGGCAGAGGGTGGTGAAAGCCGCCCAGGGCCATCCCCTTCCGGCGGTGATGCTGGCTGCTCTGCCCCGTGGAACCCAAACGGCTGGGAGCAGCCAGGGGCTGGTTCTTCTGCTTTGCCGTCGATTGGATAGAGCTTCAGACGTGCCCGCTGCCGTGTAGGGGCTGGAAGGGGCAGGGCGATTTTCATGTGTCTTGCCCCGAGACTTTGTCTTTCTGGCAGTTCAGCAGTTTTCCACCTGCCCCATCTGTGTGCCATGCATTTGTGTCCTGGTAATCCTGCAGCTGTTCCCCACTCCCTCCCTGGACCCTGCCCTTCTGATTATCAGTGCTGTATGATAGGTCCCGGCATATACCTTTCTGCTTTTCCTGCTAGAGTGAATTAATTGTGACTTGATAATAGATTTCAGAAACCTCTCATTGAACTGACATAGAGAAAGCGACAGGCATTGTGCTACGTTCTCTGAGGGTCGTTATATAAACAGCCACCAAGTTCTCAGTTTCTTGGCCTGTCTACCAGGAATCCTAGAGTTATCTCTTAATAGACTTGGAAATAATTTACTTGAGATTTTTATATATAGGTTCAAATAAAGTCATGGAAAAATTTTCAAAAATATCGTAAGTACTCATTAATAGTCTCAATGGGCATGAGTTTGAGTACACTCCGGGAGTTTGTGATGGACAGGGAGGCCTGGCGTGCTGCGATTCATGGGGTCACAAAGAGTCGGACCCGACTGAGCGACTGAACTGAACTGAAGTGAACTCATTAATTAGCTAATTTTTTTGCATTGACAAACAGTTATCATCCATCTATGATGTGTCAGGCACCAGGAGGACAGAAATTTTTCCTCTAATCCTAAAATCCAGTGTTAATATTTGTATGTCTCCTTCTTCTTTAGTTTAAACATACATAGGTGTCTATGTGTATGTATCTAATTTTATCAGTTATCTGCATATGTGTATGTATGTCAAGTGTAGATGATTAAATTTGTGGAGAGAAGCATATTTTAAAATCAGACATGATTATAAAGATCATTGTGTAGACTTCATTTACACTTATTCCATGAACATTTCATAATCCTCTTCAGCGATTTTTATTAAAAGTTTTAATTTTTCACAAGCCTGGTGGGCAGGCAGTTTCATTGTTAGATTAATTTACATTTCTTTAATTACTCATGAACTTGACAGAGTGCTTTCCCCACATTTATCTGTTGCCTAGGGTTTCTTTCTGCCAATAGCCGTCATGACTATGGTTCTTTTTTATAAGGTTGTCTTTTTTTACTCATTAGGTAAGAGTTTTTAATACATTCAACTGGCAATATATTCACATATTCAATATCTTCAACATGCTTTGTATGTATGTTTCAAGTATTTCCTGTTAGTGGTTCCTTGTATTTTAACTTTGTTTTAAAAATTTGTGTATAGACATTCACAGGTTTGATAAGACAGTTTGTTCTTTTTTTCCTTTGTTATTTCTTCCTTTTTGAGTCTTAGAAAATTCTCTTTCAATGATGATAAAGCTGTTTTCTTTTCAGAGGCTTCTTTTCTACATTCATGTTTCTCATTTGCATGGAGTCTTATGTTTGAACATATGGTGTAGTGGAAATATACTCTGCGTTCTTTTCCGATCCGTGATCTGAGTTCTGGTTTGTCTGAGGCCTTTTTCGCAGCCATGTCTTTTGTGTGTCTTCTTTGCACCGAGCTTTCAGCTAGGCTGGGACTCACTTCACCTTCTCCTGCTTCAGATGTATGCTGGTGAGTTGGTCCCGCCTGACTGTCTTCCCGGTGTTCATTTCCAGAATAATCTGGACTACTTTGGTACCTTTATGAGTTAGTTGTTATTTTTAGAATCACTTTGGTAACTTGTATAAAAGTGTCACAGTGTTTCAATCTTGATTGAAATGGAGTCAAATTTATTTTATACTTTGAATCAGAGATTTACATCTCTGTGATGAGTTTGTCTTTGTCCTTAACTCTGGTACAGAGCCATTCATTCAGGTCATTTGAAAAGCATCGTTTACTTGTTTTGCGCTTTTCTCTATAGAATCCTTGCACATCTGTTTTAGATCTGCAATGAATTTGTCTTCATCAGGAGATAATTCATCTCTTGAAAGTGGAAAGTGTTAACTGTGTCAGATTCTGTGTGATCCTGTGGACTGTAGCCTACCACGCTCCTCTGTCCATGGGATTCTCCAGGCAAGAATGCTGGATTAGGTTGTGATTTCCTTCTCCAGGGGATCTTCCTGACCCAGGGATTGAACCCGTGTCTCCTGTGTCTCCTGCATTGCAGGTGGATTCTTTACCCACTGAGCCACCTATACAGTAGTGTATATGTCAATCCCAAACTCCTAATTTATCCCCCACTCCCACCCTTACCCTTTGTTAACCATTAGTTTCTTATGTCTGTGGATCTATTTCTGTTTTGCATAAAAGTTGTTTTTTTCAATGTAGAGAAAAAATGTAAAGCTGTTTTCACAATTCTCACTGGAGTTTTACTTGACTTTATATTGCATTTATATTAATAGATTAACTTGAACTGGTATGTGAATGTTGGTCTTTTCTGCAAGCCTTCTATATTTTCCATTCATTGAAATAAATCTGATTCCTTTAAAAAAGTATTTTATTCCATCCAGAATACAATATTTATCCTAGTAATTCATGAAAATCTTCCATTTCTCCTATAGTAATGCTTCTGATTCCTATTTCCTTTTTGCTTTCCCTAAAACCATCCAAGCAATGTTCAATGGTAGTGTCTCTTACTCACCTAATACTAGTGTTTCTTTTTATTTTTTCCTTCATTTTCTTCTTCCAACTTTATTGGGATATAATGGACATACAGCATCATTTTATAAACCTGTGTAAATTTAAGGAGTACAGCATAATGGTGTACATATATCATGGGATGGCTTACATAGATCATGAAATTATTATCACAAATTTAGTGATCATTGATCATCTCATATAGATATAAAATAAAAGAAAGAGAGAAAATTATATTTTCTGTGCGATGAGAACTCTTAAGTTGTGTTCTCTTAACCACCGTCACGTGTAACATACAGCGGTGCTAATGGTATTCATCCTGTTGTACATTTATACCCCTAATACTTATTTATCTTATTACTGCAAGTTTGTACCTTTTGGCTGCCTGCATCAGATTCCCCTTTCCCCCCATTCCTGCCTCTGGTGACCCAAATCTCATCTCCCTTTCCATGAGTTTGTCAGTCTGAAGTATAATGGACCTATAACACTATGCTAGTTCCTGGTGTGCAACTTAGTGATTAGCTGTTTCCATACATTATAGCAATATCACCAGGGTAATCTAGTTACCATCTGTCACCACGAAAAGTTATTATGTTATTATTGACTATATTCTCCACACTGTACATTTCATCCCTGTGACATATTTGTGTCACAAATAAAAGATTGTTGATTATCAATCTGTCCTTTTATTTCTGCAGCACACTCTATTTTGTCAGGAATATAAATATTTTCTTATTTGTTAAATTTCATATATCATTTAAACTTAACGATTCGTAATAAAACTAGTTGTTTTGTTAAAAAAGTCTGACATTAAATCCATACTATTAATTTGTTATCGTTTAGTTCTTCAGTCATGTCTGACTCTGCGACCCCTGGGACTGGGCTCCTCTGTCCGTAGGGTTTCTCGGGCAAGAATACTGGACTGGGTTGCCATTTCCTTTTCCAGGGGATCTCCCCAACCCCCAGGGATGGAACCTGCATCTCCTGTACTGGCAGGCAGCTTATTAACTGCTGAGCCACCGTGGAAGCCCTGCTGTTAAGTTACTTCTGTTTTTTTTTTTGTTATTTTGACAGCAAAATATTTCTCTCTTCTAATGAACCTATTTATTTATTTATTTTATTTATTTATTTATTTATTTATTGAAATAAATTTTTATTGAAGTGTCGTTGATTTACAGAGTAGTACTAGTCTCAGGTATGCAGCAGGTTGACTCAGTTACATGTATATTCATCATTTTTTATACTGTTTCCATGTAGAGCACGTTACAGAGTGTTGAGTAAGGTTCCCTGTGCTATACAGTACGTCCTTATTAGCTAGCTGTTTTATATATAGTAGTATGCATAGATCAGTCCTAACTTCCCAATTTATCCTTCTCCCACCTTCCTGTTTGGTAACATTTTTTCTACATCTGTGACTCTATTTCTGTTTTGTAACCTATTTACTTAATTTAAAATTTTAAGTACCTACATGGAGTTATAACTATTATCATCTTAATATTTGTATTTTTACTTTCTCTGTACCTGTTTAGTTGTGATTTTTTTTTCTATTAAATTATCTTTGTACTTTCCAGACTATGACTATTTTACTTTAAAAAGAATGAAAGATTGAATTTACCTAGTAATTCAAATGTTTTTCAGTTTCCAAATTTATTCAGTTTTGTCATTTTTTAACAGTTACAGAGCAGTTTATTTTACCCAAGTTTAAAATCAGTATTTAAAAAATAGATCTTCCATTTTGTTTTGCTTCAGCCGAGAAAACCACACACCAGTTTTTCTAATTAATACCTTCTAAAAAAATCTTGTTTTTAAAATTTTACTTTACTTTTAAGCTTTTTATTTTGTATTGGAGTATAGTTGGTTAATAATGTTGTGGTAGTTTCAGGTGCAGAGCAAAGTTACTCAGCCGTACATATCCATATGTCCCGATTTCCCCCCAAACTCCCCTCCCATCCAGGCTGGCACGTAGCATCGTGCTGGGCTCCTTGTGCTATACAGTAGGTCCTTGCTGGTTATCCATTGTAAACATAGCAGTGTGTACACGTTGCTCCCAG